CGAACGTACATATATTTATCTACGCGCGTTTCTTTCTGTTCTATTTGGTCTGATGTAGTGTAGTCGTTGTGTGTATGTGTATCCGTACATGTTAAGTAGTGATTTAATAAAGAGACGGGGAGAACACCAACATCCCCTAATAGTATGTGTCTTCTGGTCTATTTGTCCCTGAATGTAGTATGCCTATTTGTGCATAGAAACTTGTAGAAAAATAAATCATATGAATTATTCCAAGAATAAATCTTCTTCTTTTTTGTAGATTATAGAAAAAAAAAAGATTGCATTTTTTTATGGATAATTTACCATCAATTGGTGATCGTAATACACAAACAATTGTATGTTCATTTTGTGATGATATTATACTTCGTCCACAAACAGCTATTTTAACCAATAAACCAACATTATTACCACAAATGAATATTGAAAAAACTCCGTCATTAGATACAGAAAATAATCGTTTATCAATCAATGGTAATGATCATATATGTGATTCATTAGAAACATTTTGGCTTGTATCGGATATGTTTACATTTGAAAATGTTGGCTTTTCAAATACAGTTAATAATCAAACAAAATATCTTGTTTGTGCTAATTGTGAACGTGGTCCAATAGGTTTTTCTCCGATAAATCCATTAACTAGACAATTAGAAAAAGAATTTTATGTTGCTATTGATAGAATTAAATATAAATAATCATTTAGACAATTTATTCTATTGTGCATGAAAAAAACCTTAAATTTTTTTTGGTTAAACCAAAAAGGAAAAACGAATTTTTTTTTTTCAGATGACGACTCAAAGATGGGATATGAAATCAAATTATATGCTTACATTTACTGTTTGTAAATATGGTTTAAATCCAGAACGATGGGATTTAATTGCAAATGATCTAGCTGAGGATATTAATACAACACCACAAGTAAATATATTTTACTTTTCGTTTTTTAAAGATATTTCAATATAATGAAAGACAATAAAATGAATATAAATGTTTAGTTAATGGGAGAAAACTAAAAAAAGAAGACACTTAGTGTCGGACTCTTGTACCAAACTCAAAATCTCTCACAAACAAAAGAAATAAAGGTTATATAACAAGGATTCGATATTATTGTTCATATTTTCTATTTTTTCGAATATTCAGAATTTTCAAAAAAATTAGAAGGAAGTACGAAAAGCAGAGAAGATCTGACAACTCTGATCACAGATTGTATATCAATAACGCCTCATTATAATATATGAACTACTTTATTAATGTATATCTGGAGAATTAAATAGAAAGATGGTGAAAAAATGTGTCCCGAAACAGATAGAACAAAACAATCTCCCTGTGATTAGCAATAGCAGCTCCATCGTGTTTGACGTTTTAATCTCGTAAGGATTGTGCTAACACCTTTTTTTATCTTACAGAATTGTAAAGCACAATTTTATTTATTATGTCAACAATATGGTCAAGATTGGTAAAGACATATTTTCTAAAATTTAATTTCGAAATTTTCCTTCTGTTGTTTTTTTTCAAGGCACAAAGAATCACTTGAACGTCTTGATACTCATATTTTTTCAATAATAAAACGTCTTTATTATGGTGATCTATGTGAACGAATGACTGAATCACGAGATTTACTTATGGTTATGTATGATTTTATACGCTTATTTAAAAGTGGTCGAGTTAAACCAAATGATATCAGTGAAATTTTACAAGATGTTAAAAATAGGTATTATAAAATTATTTCTTTTGTTTTTATTTCATGTTTCTACATTAAATTTTCTTTTTCTTAGTGTTACAACTCATAATAATACACAAGATAATGAACGAGAACAAAAAATAAAAATGCTTGGACGTCTTAAATTACATATGACACAACAAATATCTCAAACATCACATGTACAAATAATTGTCATAATTAATTTTGTTTTAAAAAATCGAAAATTTCTTTTTCTTTTTTTGTTTTCAGTCACAAGATTTATCATGTTCAGTTGAATTATTACCTCCACCACCATTTTTTCAATATCAACCAACAAATACAAATTATATTTCTCAAGAACAATTGGCTATAACAACAGATGAAAATGATCGACAAGTGCCTTCAATAGATAATTGTAAAAAATCTGATCCAACTGACACATCATCATTTCCAATAATTACACAATCAAATAATATTTTTATTGGAAACGAAATAGAATCATCCAATAATAATAATAATCAATCAAATGAAGATGATATTGATGAAATTGAACTTAGTTCAAATGATGATAATGATCGAACTGAAACAGTACAAATGTCAACTATTAATGAATGTGTAACGAGTACAAATTTAATTATTGATCAAGATGAATCAACATTTATGTCAGTTGAACAACTAGAAACAAATGTATCATCAACTATACCACCAATACCTATTGAAGTATCAAATTCAAATGATAAAGATTTATATGAAATTGTAAGTAGTATTGGTGTTAGTAATCAATCAGAATCTGATACTCGATTATCAACTGAGGAACGAGCAACATCAAGGTATGTTTATCTTTTATTTTCTTCATTTATTAGCAAAAGAAAAAAAAGCTATTGATTATTTTTAGTATCAACAATTTACCAACATCATCAAATCTTCAACTCAATGCAAATATTACTAGTTCAAGTGATTATTCTACATTAGATAATGATCGAATAGAATCGACAGAAGATCAGAATCATCATTCGATTCAAACCGAATCAATTGTTATAATATCGAGACATATTTCTGTTGACGACAGTGAAATTAATCAGATGGATACTGAACAGATTTCAAATGATCATACTGATACTACAGTACTAAATAATAATAATGATAATGATGATGCTAGTTTTGTTATTGAGGAAACAGTTTCGAATACAGATACTTTTAAGATTTCAATTTCATCCAAAACTAATGAAAATGATGAATCAACAATTACAAGAAATTCAAATAGAAAATCACGGTAAGAAAATTTTACAGAAAAAAACAATAAAATATTCTTTTTTTCTTGTTTTCTTAAGCTTGACAACAACTTCATCATCCAATAATTTTCGTAAATCAATCATATCAATTCTTAATAATTTAAAAACTGCTAAGTAATATAAATATTTTAATTATTTTTCTCTTTTGTTTTCTATATTTAATAATGTGTTTTTTAGATATGGTTCTGATTTTGCTAAACCACTTAAATCATTTAAATTACCTGATGAATATTATTTTCGTATTAAAAAACCATTAGACATACCTGAAATACGTGAACGTATGAATAATGGTGATTATGATGATAATATTCTTTTATTTGAACGTGATATTTTATTAATGTTTACAAATGCTTTATCAATGTATCATCGAGATCTTGATATTCATGATCATGCACAACAAATGATAAATTACGCAATGGAATTATTTTCAGTAAGAAGATTTTATTACTAATGTTTAGTTTTTGTTTTATATTACATTATTGTTAATAAATTCTAGCTCATTGAAAATGTTCATATTCCATGGAAAACTGAACATATTAAAAATGATGATGATGATGATGATACATCAAATGTATGTCTTCCTGATAATGAAAATGATAGTAATGATGATGCACTGAATATTTCGTCAAGCATACAAACACCACCTTTAAGGGCGTCAACATCACCATCTAATCACGTTGATTTATCAACAAAATGTCTTCGACGTCAAACAACATCGAATCATCCAATGAATAAACGACAACGTAAAACAATGCATTAATTCTTATTCTTATTTTGTTATACTGCCTACTGTTTCTTTCAACACGTCTGTGTTTTTTTTACATATTTGATTTTTTTGTATATACATGTGAATAATAATTTCTTGTTATGTAAACAAAAAAAAACAAATATGTTATTTGTTATATTCTTCCTAATATGCACCTGTATTGATTTGAAATGATTGAAAACAATAATAATAATGAAAAAAAGAAAAACAAAACTTTCGTATGTTACGAAAAAGTTTAAAAAACAAAATATCTATTCAGGTACAAGACAATTACGGTCTGTATTTCCACCATTACTATATTTTAAATGGACGAGTGCTTTAGCTGCTGAAACACCTGTAGTTTTTGATGCATGCGCTGAATGATGATAACGTTGTGCAGAACTTTGAATATTTTGGTATTGAACTAGTTCGACGAGAGGTTGAACCATTTGTTTTTTTTGATGTTGCTCTTCAGAACGAAGAGTAAGCGATGGAGGTGGTAGAGATCGTTTAGAAATACGTGGAGGTATTTGTTCAACTCCATTAGTCTTACGTTGTAAGAAATTGTATGAATTTGAAACATTTTCGGGACTGTCTGGTCGAGTAGATAAATGCGATGAAATCTTATTTGAATTATCAATAGGAATATCAAAGCCAACATCAAATGTTTTACTACGTTCTAAATAATGAAATGGATCATCATTTTTCTTTCCAACAACTGCTGGTAAGAGAGCAGTAGATATAGAAGCTGATGTTTGACGATTTTGAAAATTTTTCACAATAGAAATTAAACGTGTTTGAGATAAAATATCAGAATTCGATGGTTTACGGTGTGCTGAACGATGATCGAGTGGTTTTGTATTAGTATTACTGTTAACTCCAGCTGATCGAGGTGGTGAAGTGTCACCAAGAAGTTTTTTAACTGAAACTGATAGATAATCAGAAGAAGTGTATGATGCTGAGTCTGATGTTGGAGGTGATGGAAGAGAATGATCTAAAAAAGAAAAGTAGAAAATGAAAAGTTATTATTTTTTTTTCAGTAAATAACAAAAAAAAGAAACCTTTCGTTATCTGCGTATTATTTTTTGAATCATTACGTGGTTTTTCAAGTTGTAACTTTGCTTGTGTTAATTCTTGATGATTTCTTTTGATTATTGAATATTTTTTCATAAGTTCATTCATCATTAACGAATTATTAGATCCTGATGAACCTTTTGATTCATGACTAGTAGATGTTTGTTTGATATTTGCAAGTAAATTTTTTGATGTCATTGGTTTTTCTGATACAGCAGATTGAACAGTTTCTTCTGTATGATTTGTTGAAGATGATAGACGACGAGTATGTGGACGTGTACGTTGATGTTTAATACTTTGATTTGATCCTTTACCATCCGATTTAGCTGTATGACCACTTTTACCTGAACGTGGTCGTTCTCCAGATTGATCTCTTAGATAATCTTCATAATGGTAGACACGAGGTATAACAAGAGGTTCAGATTTTTTTGAAGATGTTTCGTCATTTGATTTTGTTTCAATATTTGTTGTATTAGTTGTTGTTATTTTCATTACACTTGATCGACGACTTTTTATAGATATTGATTGAGGTGATTGAGATTTTTTTTCTATTTGTTTAGAATCCGGTGGTGTTATTCGACCTATAATATTTCCAACAGAACCATCAAAATCATCATCATCATCATCGGAATCAGCTTTCGGTAACCAAATTTCTAATGAACATTTTTGTTTAATATTACCATTATGTGAACAAGTTTTTTCATAAGTTATTCTATCAAGTGGCCCACTACTAAGAATTTTTCGAGATTTAATTCGTTTTTGTGGTGATGATGATGTACGTATATTTGTTGTTATTCTTTTTTCCTGATTTGATAAATAAGATGTTTCATTTCCTCCATAGTTTGATTGTCGACTAGTTGAATTAATATTTGAAATTGAAATAAGATATTTATCAAGTTTAATTCGTGCAGCTACTAAACGTTTAAATGTAGGTGAATTAGCACGTAGAATTTCAACATTAGGTCGTGCTGATGTAGCTAATTTTGATGTCTCATTTATATTAGTCGATCCATAGAATATGTTGGCTATATCATCTTTTGTCCATCGATTATCTGTATTCGTACGTATTACTTCAGTATCATTAGATATTCTCGGATCAGTACGATAATGTGAAGAAACAGGTATAGGACGATCAAATAAAGTTAAACCTTTGTTTTTTTTTAATAAAAAAAAAATAGCAAGATTTTATTTTTTTATATCTTTCTATACATGATGACATTGAAAACAAATATCTCAAGGAAAAAGCAATAAGATTAATACCTACCTTTATTACGTTTCGTTGTCATTTAAAAGAATAAAATAGAATTTTTTGAATTAAATTCAATCATTTGTTTTTCGTAGTATAAATCACGAAAATATCGATTTTGAATGTTAATTCAACATATGTATCCATTTATATAATTTGATGTCACATGCATGAATGTTGTTTCAAGTTTTTAGCTAAAGGAAAGTAAATATAATTTTTCTTTTTACTGTTTCATTTAATCGACCATATTTTTCTTTTTTCTCCTTCAACAGCTTTGTCCGAATTGCTGTTCTTTTGTTTGTTTTTACATTACTTCATATAGTTGTTCACTCCTTTTTTTCTTCTTTTTTAAAATCATTGACATTTTGATGTATGTTTTTTGGGCTTGTCAATGTTTATGCATAATATTTTACAGACTACATACATTTACATGAAAATGTTATTGAAGTCTTATGAAAAAAAATTGAGACGATTTTGGTTTTTCTTTGTTTTGAAAAAAAAAACTGACAATCAGCATTTCATAATTATGCAGATTAGTCTTCATTAATTCTAAGTTACACTTTTCGTTTTCATTAAAATAAAAACAAGACAACTAGATAATGTTGCAATTATCTGTTTCTCGTGCTACTGTTACATTATGTACTAAATATTTCGGTTTTTTTTTCTTTCTGTATACCTTTAATATATGAGCCAAAACGGCTGTTATCTCTGTCACATCATCGTCGAAATAAAATGCTCAACAAATACTTTGATAAGAATAGGATGATTATAAGTAAAGGAGTCCTTCAAAAAAAGAATAAAACTACAAGACATCAAGTGAGTATTTGGCAATGATAAAATACTGCGTCGTTAATCAAGAGTACATTTTCTTCAACGTTTGATGCATGCAATAAACTCGTAATAGTAACCTGTATATATGTATACTCTAGCATCATGCTTTGTCATTGTTGATATATATATATATGAGATTTACTAACTAAATAACAGAGTTAGCTTACTAAATGCATAGTACGTACTTTATTTTCTGTATAGAAAACTAAAATCATTTGATAACTTAGCTTTTTCAGGTTTATTTATGATATTAGTCAGTAATTGGATTTTTTAAGGGTACAAGATTTTTTGTATATATTTTATAAATGTTCTCAAGTCATTATCATCTGATCGAAATCCAAAGTAAAGAGTATGACGCACACGATTATTTGAGACTATTTATATGATCTTAAATCTACAATTTGATAAAAATATGCTTGTCATTATTTAAATCCTTTCGATAATAATTCTTATTTTTTTATTCTTGCATTTTCTTGATATATAGAATGATCAAGGTCAAATTTTGAACTGATATTCATTCTGATTTTACATATTAAATATTTAATATAGGACTAAATTACAAGGTTAAGGTACGTTTTAATACCATCTACAAATAACGAATTGTTATGAGGAGTAAACTCGACGAACAGAACCTCAACAAATATTTACCTTGTCATAGTATGACAAGCAAAAAAGTGCAGAAGAGCTATTGACATAGCAAAATATCTATAAAGGACATGGAAAAAACTGACTAATGCATTGCAGTATTCAAATTATAAATCGTTTTTTAGATGATTAAATTTATCTTAATCGTTGCCTGTATTAAACTTGGATATAGTTATCCAGAAGATGCACAGAATAATGTCTGTACTTCAATGATGCCTCGTCATGATGCTGTACCAAAACAATGTCAATCCAGATATATTATTCAATCCGAAACATCTGAATATAATATTAATGACATTATTCGAAGTAATATTAAACATAAAAGGGTTTATGTCAAACTACAAACTTTCCTGTTCAAGAAATTCGACTTATTTTCATCAGTCTCAGAATTAGCATTAAATCTTGGCTACTCTTTACAAGATTATTTTGTATTTTACTCTCGCTCAAATTTTCTTAACCCTCGAGTCTATCACAAGTATAGAAAAAATTTTTTATCAGTATTCTATAGAAAGTCCTTGTAGTTTGAAAGAACCGAGTGTGCTGATTACAAAAATCATATTTTCCTTCAAAACTAGACAGATAATTAAAAAAAGAGCTGAAGGCCTTTTTGAAAGACCTAAAAAAAAATCCGTTTTGAACTCAAAAAGTCATCAATATTTAGTATAGATTCGTGCAGCATAGACTCATTTGATGTAAAAAAAAATTCCCTATTAGAATCTATAAAAATTTTGTGAATATTCAAATGATTTTCTGTTGATAAGTACCGAATACTGCCTCGATTGAGTCATATTCTTACAGCGAGTCGTATTTTCAATTTTATGAAGTCTTACTCTATATGAATGCTCTAGCAAATTTTTTTTTATCAAATGTGTAATTCTTGACTATTGTCAACATGAAATTCTATGCTTAGTAAGGTACTTTTGCTTCTAAACTGAGTCCTTTAAAAAAAATGTCTCAGTTAAGAGAAAAAAAAATGATTGTAATAAATATCGAATTTCATGTCGAAAAGAGTCTCATCAGAAAGAACACATTGAACTACGCATATGATAAGAAGAATTCGCTAATACATTCATATCAATTGTAACTTCATTAAGACTGAAAATATTTTTGTAGGGTAGAATACGAGCTAAACGAGGCAATATTCAGAGTTCAACATTGAGAAGTAATTTTAATATTCACAAAGTATTAATAAATGCTAATAGAGAAAAAAAAAGCATTGTATCGAATGAACCAATGCTCGATAAATCTAAATTAGATTCTGATGATCTTTTGGGTTCAAAAACTGATTTTCAGATCTCTCAAAAAACTTTTTCAGCTCTTTTTTTTATTATCTGAATAGTTTTAAACAAAAATATGATATTTGTAATCAGCATTCTCGATTGTTCCAAACTACAAGGACTAATTTTTAATAGAACAGTGATCAAATTTTTTTTTCTATATCTGTGGCAGACCTGAGAGTTGAAAAAAAATAGAGTGATGATAAAATACAAAATAACCTTGTAAAAACTAGTTAGGAATTAATGCTGATTATCAGATTGATAAACTGAGTTAAATTTTTTTGGACAGTAAAGTTCATAATTTGATACAACTGTTTTTATTTATATTATTGTTTTGTTTCTTATTGCAGTTACTGTTCGTGGTTCAACAAATGTTGATTATTTTAAAGGAATTCATTTAATCGCAAAAAATCAAAATAATCAACATATCATTGGTAGTTGGTCCATAACCAATTCAGCAATTAAAACAATTTCTTGTAATGAAACAGAAAATGTTGCTATAATTCATTCGTCAGCTGATAATAAATTACAAATCGAAGCATTTTGGCATGCACCATCAATCATATCCGAAGAAAAAACTATCATTAAGTAAATACTTTTTTTTTATTCTGTATATATAAATATATTTAAAAAATATATCAATATATAGAGCAACAATTGTTACACCAGATGATGAAATTTATGTCGATTGTTTTAATATTACACTAACACCAAAACAAGTATATTTTGCTTTTTATACTTATTCAATACAATTTCTTCTTGTTTTTTTCTTGACTTTATTCAGAGTAATTCATTACGTATTCAATCAATAGCAGCAGATACTGAAAGAAGTATATTAACAAAAACAAAAACAAATATAACATGGCATTATATTGAAGATACAGTAACAGTAACAGTAACAGCAGGACATATGAATGTTCGTGAATGGATAGCTATTGGTTTTTCACTGGATCGACAAATGGTAAGAAAAAAACAAACAAGTTTATTTTTATTTTTATTTTTAATTAATTTTTTGTTTCTATATTAGGGTGATGAGTATGTATTTGTATGTCAAATTTCATCAACAAATGCATCACTTCAACGAATGCATACAAAACTTGGCAAACTACCGTATTTATGAGTTTTTTCAAATCATTTTAATATTTCTATAGTTGTATCTAATAGCCCATTACTGTCTAGTCAAGCAGTAAATGTAACTAGTGTAAAATTCGAAAATGGTTATGTTACTTGCCAGTTTTCATTTGAAACAACTTCTGCACAAGTTGATGGTGAACCGGCACCGATTGTCATAAAACAAGATTATTATCTTCTTTTTTCTGGTGGAATTTTAAGAACAGAAAGTATACGCTTTTAGAAAATCCTATGAAAAATTGATTAATTTATTTTTTATTATAATAGATCAAATAACAAAACATAATTTTACATATGTTTCATCCGAAACTTATCAATTACAAAATCCTAAAACAATTATTTTTGATGAATCAAATGTAAGTTAAACTTATGAAATTTTTAAGGCTATTTACATAGAAAATAATATTCTATATACAATAGACAAATATAACAGACAATAATACTTTAACAAGTTCATCAGGGAGTTCTTTGAGTACGGCTACAACAGCTTCAACAATAAATGATATTGGAGTTAATATTAATTGGGCATATGCTAGTGGCATAACAACTGTTAAAATGATAATTAATAATTTAAAAATATCTCAATGGCTTGCAATAGGTCTTTCGCTTGATGACTTCATGGTATTCAATTTTTTTATACTTTACACAATAATATATTTCGCTTTGTATAGGGAGAAGATCATGTATTTATTTGTCAACATTTAGGCAATAATACAATAGTTCTTCAGCGTTTTATTAATCCAGGTGGTCATTCAAGACCAGTTTTAGCTAGTACAACAGCCGATCTAGGTGGTAGTTTCAATGTTATTCTACAAAAATTTGAAAATGGTATAACCTATTGTGATTTTACTCTATCAAATTTCGTTGATATACGACGTCAATCACGTCAAACTAATGTTCCTAAACTTTCTCAAACGGCTAGTTATCGACCACTTATAGCTATTGGAAATTTAGATAGTTCAAGTAAGTTTATGCTTTTCAATATATTGTTTTTAATAAAAAAAAATGTTCTCTTTTATAATAAATAGATGTGCTAATGAAACATGCACAAAGTTCACGTACGCCATTAAAACGAGACGTTTTCCTGAATCGACAAGAAACACTTTTCTATAATGCAGAACCAACCGGGTCGGATTCAACGGGTTTAATGAAAGCACATGGTATTATTATGGCATTTACTTGGATAGTCCTTGTTTCAACTGGTATTCTTATTGCCCGTTATTTCAAACCATTATGGCCAAATAAGAAAATATGTAATAAAGCAGTCTGGTTTGCCATTCATCGTGCAATAATGACTTCTGTTGCTGTATTAACATTAATTGCATTCGTTCTTATTCTTGTCTTTAAAAAAGGACAATGGGTATCACAACATTATAAAGTTGAATTTAGTCATTCAATAGTTGGTATACTTGTCATAAGTTTTTCTATAATTCAACCATTAATGGCATTATTTCGTTGTCATCCAGATGAGCATTATCGGTTTATATTTAATTATGCACATGCAACTGTTGGTCTTAGTGCATTTACACTTTCAGTAGTAGCTATATTTTTAGCAATGTTTTTCACACGATTTAATTTTCAATTGAAGAAACAATGGGCAATTTTAGTTGTATGGTCATGTTGGTTACCGATTATATTTATTACATTTGAGATAATTGAAATTTATTTTCGACAATCTTCATCCTCAACAGAAAAAACAAATTCATTTGATATGAATGATCAGTTTGGAAATGCTACAGGCAAAATAGTTACAAAACCAGTGACACAAAGTCGTGAAAAAGACCGAATTAAACAATTTGCTCTTTTGCTTCATATTATAATCGCTCTTGGATTAGCATTAGCATTAATCATTCTTATTGGACGATCGTAGAAATATTGAGAATTTAAAACTTTTGCTATACATGTATATTATAATTCATATATTCATTCAGTTTTTTTTTTCGAGTAAACATTTAATGTATTAGAAAATAAAACGAACTTTAGTCTCAGAAAAATCAATGAAATACTTATCAATATTTTCGAGCAAAGAAAAAAAAACGTTAGAATTATGTTTTATATAATTTAATACGTTTACAAAAAAGCATAAGATCAATATTGTTGGAATTAACTGTTGGTATTCGATATATATCAATAATAAAATTGAACTCAAAAGGTTTTTATTTGAATGCATCAGGGAATGGTATTACATCTATACTAAAGTTGTTAAGCAACCCCAATACGTCATATGTACTCGACTAACTAAAATCAAAATCGACTTATCATTTCAAACTTATAATATTTCAAATCCTAACTAAAATGTTTTGTATTAGACACTTTTCTAACTTTTTTACTTCAAAAAATGGTCTAAAATAACTGAGCAAAACTTGATTTTATCTTGTATCATAATAAAAATGATTTCGATTCATATCTATTTTGTCTTGTAGTTACACAAAACGAAACCAAACTACATTCTACTTGAATAAAACTATCGGATAAATTTAGTTGGATACATCATGAACAAAAAGTAAAATTCTTATGTATCATTTTAAAATGCAAACAGAATCGATTCATTAATCTAGAGAAAAATTTGTTTAGTTTCACAAATGCCAATGTCAGCTTCATAAATATAAACTCACTCTTTTAATGAGAAATTATCAAACACACAATCGATGTCAACAGCCTCGCAACGCTTTTTATTTTTGAGTCTTGTATTAAAAAAACATACACAACATTAATCTAACATGTTGACATGCCTATTTGGCAGAGCTTGAGTATTACATATATATTTATACACTTGTTTAATGCGAGAAATGCTTGAATATAAAGTACAATTAATAAGTAAAAACTTGAGTACGAACAAAAAATGACATAAAAAATAACATATCATCGTTGTTACAAGTTTTAATAGTTTCGTCACATAGACTAAGCTAGATGAACCATCGAGTCAATAAAAAAAAAACATGTATCACACGGATAAGATGTATATAATGATTGTTCATTTGCTTGCATTAAATCAGCGTCACTTATAAACTAATAGGAACAATATGATGCGGTCTTTTTTGTTATTAATCAGGTTTCTATTTATTCACTGTACTTTTTATTCAACCTATTCTTGTATTAAATAGATGTAGATTTGTATATATGTATATGAGCAAATTGCAAAATTTATTGTATAGTTATATTTTAATATGTAAAAGTGCAATATGTGAAGCTGTTCTCAATCAATCTTGATGGTTTTTTTTCCAGATTAGGTTCTTCTAATAAATTCTCAGTACCACACAAAACAACACGGATTTATCACAGTTTTAAACTTTAAAAGTCGAAACGAGTAAAGTCTGAAAAGTAGAATTTTACTGCCACCTATTGTTAAAACATTTCATATAACTGATTTCTTCTCTTCTCATTTACATGTCGGAAGTTAGCAATTAGTTTGTATTGAGTATATCTATGGTAATAGAAGTTTAGACGAATGTGCAGTAAAATGATAAAATAATTTTGATTATTAGTAAACTGTTTGTCTTAGGTCTAGTCTGTCGGTATCAATTAAAATTTTATCATGAACATTGTATTGTATATTAATTATAAGAAGTAGTTCGTGTTTCTAATGCATTAAAAAATTTCAATTTATTGGGATATTCTAGTAAAAAAAAGTAAAGGTGGCAGATATGAAACCATAAACAAATGGATCATTATGATAATCTTTATGAAGAAGGATTACAGAGAAAAGAGCATCTTCTTGATGAAATGTATTCATCATTAAATAATTATTCTCATAATCTACATCAAACAAAATCTTATCGTCATAAATGCTATTGCACACGATTAAATACTTGTTGCATTTATGCAAATTAATCTCTTGATTTTTCTTTAAAATAGATGACTTATTTTTTTTTTTAGTATTTTTATAATTAAAGATAATCAATTATTTTGAAATACTGAATATTTTACCAATACTAACGACCCTCAATCCTATTTAAAACATAATGGAGATGATTGTTCTATTGATTAAAAAAAAAAAGGTTCTTCACGTTAATTTCCACTTTATTGAGTTCTTTCTATTTGCAATGTACAAATGAAAGAAAAAAATAATCAGTCAACAGGATCATTTTTCATGTAATTTAACGAGCTTGATCAAAGAAGAAACTTAAGCTGTCTAAAAAAAAAGACGGTTTAACAACAAAGAGTTTTTTTTAATGAAAATTAGTAATAAATTATTTATGTTACGATTCTTTGTTCATTTCAAGGTTAGGTAAGCGAATGGGCAATAAACAGTCTATCAGCTGTCATTGTCGTAGATGAATGACATTAAACACTTGTATAATTCAAGTTTACATTAGATTACACGACTCTAACAACTCTATACAGTGAAACCTATCGTGGATAGTCGATGGTTATTTTAGAATAATAAAAAGAAACAATATGAACATTTGCATTAGTTCATGTTTCATTCCAGTCATGATGCTATGAGTTGAATTTATGCTTCAATATAGCATGCATTGAAACATTTCTTTTAATCAAAAATATTTGCATCATGAATAATTTATTTTTATCATAAAAAAATATTTCATTTAACTAAAATTCTATTAATGATTGATTAAACGAAAGGATTAAAAATGCAAAAATAAAAAATGATTATCTACTTTCTAATAAAAACTTCTTCTTATTTTGATAAAGCGAAAGAGACTTTTATGGCATGAATAAATAAATGAAAGTCTTATGTTCCATAAAAAGCGAAACCTTTCATCTTATTTTCTTTTTTTTGGCCATTAAAATTTTTAAATGAATAACACAGCATGTTCAAGTTTACGTCAATCTACATTTTTGTATTTAGTTACAGCCTAGTGTGTATTGTTGCTAAGAAACATTTTTTTTTTTCTTTTTTCGCTCTCACACTCTATTACATTTTGTTACTGTAATGATTTTGTTTTTGTGAAATTTGTCCTTGTGAACGTTTCGTCTCTGTCGTTTAACAGAAAAAACAAAAGAAGAAGACGATAATGATTATTTATTTCTATATGGAACATACATAACAGATTTTTAATAGCACATATGAAAAGAATTAGATTGAGAAAATACAAAACAGCTTTTAATAGTAACAAGTAAAAAGAAAAAAAGGAAACAATTGGCAACCACGGACAAGAAATAAAGCATAGAATCAAAAAATCTCTGAATTCTTTTTGTATTCGATCTCTTTATCAAGAGAAAAAGAATTAGAAATTCATTTTTTTCTTCTCTTTTTGATTGCGTAGCAACGAAGTCTTGTTAGTAACATGACATAGATGTTAAAAAAAAACGATACAGGGAGCGACACTGTGGTTGCTAATTGCGTATTGGTTAACAGACGCTTTCGTTGAATAGCAACCAGCCACATCATTTACAACATCACCATCGACAGCAGTAGTAGTTATGGCTTCTCGCATTTTCTTTTTAACATAACTTCACTATATCTTCATCGAAAAAAACGTTTTCTTTCTTTATTCACTATTATTGTTTTTATTGTATTGCATAGTTCATCATTAAAAACGAAAACATTATTTAAGATAGAAAATAATTTTGACAAAAGAAATTAATCGATGTCTACGTCTGCCAAACAGGGCTACAATGGTTATAGTTCATTTCTTGATAAGTATCGTGCCAATTTGAATACACCACGCGGGTAAGATATGATTACTGCTATTTTTGTAAAATCTTATCTTCTTAACTACACACGATGTTAATGACTGCCTACGAAAGAAAAAAAAAACCCTCTATTTATTCTGTGAGGAAAAAGATTAAGATAGTTTCTAAGTGCTTATATCATGAGGTAAAGAAAGAGAACGAAGGTGTCTTTGTACGTCGCATTTTGTGAAATCTTGTATTAACTTGTTAAAAAGAAATGTCAGCAACCACAAGTCAGAATTTACGACATACACCGAATACTTATCGAGAAAATAGTTCGAAACAATATCAGCAAAATCCCAATGAACGGAAAACAAGAAAGTCACTAGATCGTATTGGTTATGATGATCGATATCAATCAAAATCTAGTTTTTTGGAAAAATATCGTTCAAAGAAAGCTTCAGATGATTCAGTATCTAAAGATACAAATAACGGGTGATCATTATTTCCATTAATTTTGTTTGTGCATTATTCTCATATTTTCAATCGAATTTTTTTTTAACATTTTTTTCATTTTTTTTTCTCATTACACAGCACATCTACTTATGTGCCAAGGTAAGTGGTTGTCGAGCTTTGCCCAACATTGCCTTCATTCTTCTCTTTTTGTTCTCTAACTTTGATTGCTTATTTAAAAAAAAAAAAAACTTTTTTCATCGAAGGAATGAAAAATGAGTACACTTCAAATTTTTTTCTTCTGATTTAGCTGTTATCAATGTAATTCACCACGAAGGTAAAAATCAAGAAATAGAAAAAAAAAAAATTAATAATCTAAAAACTAGTCTCTGTCTCTAGTTTATAAATAAAATATTTCCCATTCTTCTTTGCTCTAGAATTATTGTTTAATACATACCCGTAGTTGCTTTTCTATCATAGAATTATAAAAAAGGAATATTTTTATTTTACGTAATATTTCAGTGATAATACGCAACAGCGAACACAAACCTACAGTAATAATATTGATACATCAACATTGCGTTCTACAGGCAGTGTTATTCATGATGAACGATTTGGCAATGAAATTCTTGCCCGTGCTGGTCCAAGTCATCAGTATCAACATCCCCAATATCGTACCCAAGATGGTACACAAAAATTCATATCTATTCTGTTTTTATATTAAATAATTTTTCTATTTTATATAGTTATTTCATCGGATGGTCGCTTGGAAAATTTAAATATACAAGCTGATAATGAACCATTACACGTCATAAAACCAACCGATCAAAATATTCATTATAAACAACAGGTTAACGTACGATTTTTGGAACCACCACCAGGTCCGGAACCAGCACCAATTATCATCAAAGTAAATACTTAACTAATACAAGTTTAATTTTTTAAATATCTGTATAAATTTAGGAACGTCAAGCACCAGCACTACCTCCGCCACCGCCAGTGGTTGTTCGACAACGTCCACCAACACCACCAACGCCTCCTCCTCTTATTATTCGTATGTTCTATCTATTGTTTTTTTTTGTTTAGTTTTATTTTATTTCGTTTTCGATATTAGGTGAACGTCCGCCAACACCACCAGTACAGCAACAACCGCAAATTATTGAAAAAGTTTTACCACCACCCCCAGCTCAACCTCGGCAAGTTATTGTCGAACGGCTTCCACCACCACCACCGAAACCACGCCAAGTGATTTATGAAAAATGGTTACCTTATCAAGAAACCAAGGAACGACCGGTTATTGTCGAGCGAGCACCACCTCTAGATATGTAAGCGGATAGGATATAAATACACTTCATCATTTATTTTTGTTTTTTGTTTAAATAATTAAATTATAGAATTCGACCACCAAAAAATGTCATTATTGAATATGAACAACCAAAAGCTCATCATGAACAAATTATCATTGATGAAGGTGTTTTTCGTGCTGATCCTCAATCGCATAATGCTACAAGTACTATGGGGTAAAAGAAATCAATTAAAATTTTATATTTTAATATTTCTTGTATAATTTATAGTGAAGTACGTATTGTTGATAGAATAACCGATTTGCCAATGGATTATTCGAAATATTTATCAAATCGTCGTCCTCAAACGGTTCAATCTTACTCAGCATCAAATCCAAATCTTTATGAACGACAATCACCTCCACCACAGCTGAGTCAAACCGAACCAGCACAACAATATCGTTCAACAACTTACAATTATCCAGGTTTGTTTCTTCACAGATTGATATAAATATTTATCCAACAAATAATATATTTTAGGAGCTTATACAACAACCTATCGTGCATCATATACAAATCAAAATGCCAATCGAAGTGGTTATGGTCAATATGGTGGCAACGATGGAAATCGATCAGCATCCTACACAAAATATGTTTAGAAAAAAAGAATGAACAAAATTTAGTTAAGAGAGACATAAGGATATGCTAGCTATAAACGACCTTATTGTATCTACATACAGAATCATCATCATGATTGCATATCCAAAAGAAAAGCGATTATTTTCTTTTGTCATTTTTCTTTCTTTTCTCTTCTTATACTTCTCTTATTCTTTATTTCTAATTTAATATTTTGTCTATTTTTAAGAAACAAACAAAAAAAAAAAATTTGCTTTTCCCGAGTTATTTATTTTTTTAATTATCATTTATTTGAAGTGATTTTGTCGATCAGACTTTCTAGGCATTAACATCAATGTTGTTTACAACTTATTGTGTTTGTTGCATATATAGTTCTAATGTAGAATGAAACATTATCGATCTGCAAAATACAATCATGTTTATGATAGAATATTTACTCAAATATGACTAATATTGAATTGTTGCAATCATTTATATCGATCTTCTTATTGCTTTTTCAGCTCTATTCAATATACAAAGCAAATTTGATGAGAGTAAAGTGAAGGACTCGACAATTAATATCTTAAAGAGTGATAGATATGTTATCAATAATGTAATAAATCTGTTTTCTTCTTTCTTTTGTTGCTTCTCAAAATAATATAGAAAGAAAATGGTATACAAAATAAATATGGTATAATATTTATAGTTGTTGTCTTTCGAAAAAGATTGAATTGATTATTTAGTTCATTGAGTATTTTTTTCTTATTGACTACATTGATTATATCATGCATGTGTTATATCTGAGCGATTTTCAATCAGACGCCAGCAAATTCTTTAAGAGGAAAAAAGATGAATTTTCTTTATCAAAATTACTTTGATTGCTCGTGATTGCCAATAATTGTCTTGATTATGATTAGTTTTTGTTTCTCCTTGTGCTTCCTATTGATTACATGTGTGCAATGCATGAAACAATTTTTCACTCTTACTTTTGAACATTATTAGATTCTTCATAAGTGTCTGAGCAATTTATAAGTAATATTATTCCTATATTATTAAAAGAGATGCTGGTTGAATTCTAGAGTGGAAATATTTCATTTATCGATTATTTTGTGTAATATGATAGTGTCTTATAGGTGGATTGTTCTTGTTTGAATTATTTCAACCGTGTATAATTTTGATAAGTGTTCAATACATTCAAAAGATTTTGAAAGAACTAAAGTCGTTAACACATACGGCAATAGAGACAAGAATCTATTTACTTATAGCCATTGTTTGTCCTGTCAGTGAGATCGACAGATAAGACCAATTGATATTAAAATGAAGTACATACGGTAAAGATTCATACGACAGTATTTGAGAAAACATTATGAGTTTCGATTATTACTCTTAATATACAATGGTTGTCAAAATTATTCAACCAGAATATAATTTACGGATTTTATTGACATTTCCCATTGTTTGTTAATTTTATAGAATTTGCTAAAATTCTTGATATGGCAAAATATCGAAAATAGATTCAGGTCATGAGATGATTTGACGGTGTTCAAAAAAGTTGAACAATTTCATGATATGCATTTATTCAAAAATTTCTTGAGGATATGATATAAAAATACATAAAACACATGATAATTATACGTAGACAGTTAATATTGTTATCAATTTATAATACTATTAATTATGAAATGAAACAAACCATCTCATCTTTCTATTCTTAGTTTTACTAAAGTTCTAGATTTCTCAAACTTTTTTTTCTCAACTGATTGTAATATCTCAATAGATCGCCGATATTATCGTCTTTTGCAAGTCGTACAATAATATTCATCACGTGTTACTCGATTTATCATTCCTCGGCCATCAACATATGCTGCATACATATTACCTTGATTATGTGGTCGTCTGTCTATAAATTATGTATTTCAAATAAAAGCAAATTAATGAACATATAGGAAAGTTTTTCCTAACAGGAATCTTACCAGAACATAAACAACATTGTCTAGTGGAAACAAGGTCACATCGATGGCCACATCTTTTTTGATGACCTCTAACTTGATTTCTTTCTAACACTGTTAAATTTGTTTGAATTTCTTCGATTGGTAATGCCTGATTTCTTGTTGAAACTTGCGCTTTTCGTGAAGATTCATTGGCCGTTTCACGATTAAGTTCAGCTTGTAATTGACGAGCATAGATTTCATCACGTTTTGTCACTGCTGAAGCATTGTTTTCCTCATGATTAATTACTGTCGGTGATGGAAGTTTAATAGTTGACCAATCAATGGTATTTTTAATTAATTGAAATAAACGTGAAGCCTCTTCCAGATTGTACGATACATGACGTTCATCTTCTTTCCTCAATGGATGCCGGCAAATAGGACCTTAAAATAGACAATCTATATATAAGTCTAAGAAAATTATTTTTTATATACAGTAGTGTATGCATTGGGAGCCTATAGTATGATCAATACATGTTGAATGACCGCAAACAAATGTTGTTGGTCTATGTATTAATGAGTAATCTTCGAAACAAATTGGACATCGACTCCATTCATCGTTCATTGCTTCGATATGAATTGTAAATGCAAGCCAAGTATAAATATGAAAATAGTTGTGTTGTTGGCGTTACTTCGTTCGCTATTATAAAGAATGACTTGTGCATGAATAAACATAAGAAATCAATGAATCATTCCTGACTTGTTGTGCTTTCGTCCAATGACGTATAGAATGACGAAATTAGTTGAGTTGAATTGAGTAATATCTTTTGACAGAAGAGAGTGTATGAAGATAAGATGTGTGTAAAAAATTTTCAGCAATTTTTCTATTGACATATCTTTGCAACTACTGGGGCAATTTCAACAACAAAAATCAACATTTTAAAGGGTATTTAAAAGTGTATTTATTGTGCGAAAATAAAGGTTTTAGCTCAAGAAGTAAGAGAGAGTTAATAAAGGAACTTTGTTACATGTATTTTGGTTCTCAAAAAACAATTTTTTAACGTTGAATAATAAGAACATGAAACAGATTTATTTTTTCTTATATGTAAGCATATATTCTGTGTGTGAAGAAGCTAAATAAAGCGTGTATCACTATCTCACGAACACTTTTCGTCAAGCTCATCAATAGAGTTAACTCGCGTTCAGAATTTGCATTTTTATGTTTTTGTTGCGTATTCTATATGTATAAAAAAAAATCGTTTAATAATATTCTCACATTTATATCTCTCTTATTTCTGAAGTGTAAATCTATAAGTTCTGTTTTTATGTGCTTATAAAGTAAGTTCGATTTATTTCGTACACACTTGACACGATGTTTATCAGAAAACACTTGGAAACAAACAAAGAACGAGAAGAGAAAATGAGAAATAGATATGACTACATAGATGATGATATCGATCTATATGTAACAAGCATGTTGGATAAATCCAAGCAGAAAATAAAGAAGTAGAAGGAGAAATCTAATATCGAGAATAAGATGATATTAGGAAAACTTCAACAGAGTAAGTAGAAATTTTTCAACATAGAAATAGGGAAAATTCCTATATTAACATTAAGCTAGAACCTTTATTTTTGCACAATAAGTATACTTTTAAATACTCTTTAGAATGACTATTTATTTGTTGAAATTACTAACTGACTGCAAAGATATATTGCTTTGAAAAACGCTGAGAATTTTTTCCCCATATATTATTTCAAGAAAAGAAAGAACAAATGGCCCGTGCTCAATTTATGCGACAAATTATTTAGGAAAATAGAGAATCAAGAAGTTGGTTGTAGAAACATACTTAAGAGAATGTAATTTGTAGTGCTGAATTATATGGTTTTTACATGATAGAAATACATTGAGAATCCGGAAGAAAATGCTTTGCATGGATTTCTATAATGCAACAGTAGCATTTTCAACTGTGTAATTTTTGAAAGGAATTCAAGATAGCTAATTATGAGCTCAGCAAACGGATACAACACCTCTGAAATTTATCATATCTTGAGATTAGTGATTCGTACTTATACACAAACAGAGATTGTATTCAGTTTGTCGTCATGCTGAACGGACATTGACAACGTTAATTATCAAAGACGATCTCTAAGTTATTGTTTTAAGCTCTAATGATTTACATAGTTGTTTTAGATGAATCAATGTATCGATGTTTTTCTGAATGTATAAGGACTCGAAACATTTCTTGACATCATCATTGTACTATTTACTCTTTCACAACCGTATTTCGGAGTAAAAAATACAAACATAAATTCAATACATCTTTTTAATTTTGAAATTAATACAGAAAACTTTATTTGCTACTAATTAATATTATATTTAATCATTTCATTAATAATACCTATATTTTAAACTTATTACGTTCAGTAGGATTATTTGATAGGTTAAGCTGTTCAACATTCGATAAAACCAAGTGAACACAAACTACTTAGTTTCTTCCCATAAGTAGTGAAGAACCTATGCTTCCAATATTTATCCATAAAAACTTGATATGCTAAAGTATGAATGAGAGCTCGAAATAATCATCGTCACCAAATATCGCAGTATTCTTGAGTTATCAAGATAGATACTAATACAGATGAGCATACTATAGCAAAAAACAAAAGGAAAGTATCTGGTTCATAAATTTGAGGCTGAATGTGAGACCAATGTGAAAGCATTATGAAAAGAAATTGAGGAAAATAAAAATAACTGTGCTTTTGTAGTATTCCTCCTCTCTTGTGATTTGTCTTTGTTCATTAGTACGTTGGTATGATCGCATCCAAATATGGTTTCAAGGCACTTTTATTACAATTAAAGTGTTGTTCTGCAAGTAACATGCAATAAAAGGAATTTTTGACAAAGAAAACTGTCGAATACAAGCAAAAATTCAGCACAATCAACTGACGAAAACTATGTTTTATCTAGTCAGTTTGCATCTCTCATACGGTGTTGTCTGGTTTCAAATCTCAGCCTTTTTTATTATCATAAACTTTTATAAGAAGATTTAACGAATTCATTCAAGTTTCTATTTGTTCGAGCTCTTATTTCGCATACTTTACCTATAGTTGAATATTGAATATGTAGGTAGGTTGATGAGAATGAATCTACTATTGCTGTAAGATATAGTATACGTACACGATATTAAGGTTATTACTGGTACCAATGATTATTTGAACTATTCTCAAATCATGTATTTTTTCGGACCGAAAGACTATTTATATAAGAATAATGTTCGAAATTAATGTCTGGAAATTTTTTTAAAAAAGTCATTCTATGTCATAAATTTTTAAAAGATACTATTGATTTACGGTGGTTTCGCTAATATCATTGGTAAACTCTGGTTTATTGATGATTCTATCAATCAATGCTATGTTACAGTTACATAGACTGATAAAATAGTTTTTAATAAAGATAAAGCTTTTTTATCAACATTACATCAAAGTATGAGATATTTTCTTTCACACTAACGTATTCATATTTAACTAATTCAAATATATATCATCACATACTTCTCAAGAGTAAAGTTTTAAAAAATGTTTATCATATCATTAAACTTCTATCCTATTTAGTTGTGTAAAGTTTTTCAAACACTAGAGAATACAAGATGTCAAAATTGTAAAAACTCTTGGCTTTATTAGTACTATTTTCGTGATGCCAAAAATTATTGAAAATGAAGAATGTCATTCCAATATCATTCAACATAGATAAATTATAACGGTCTTAGATACAGTTTAGTTCTAATTTTGATAATGTGTTCTCTAAAAGAATCAGCAATGTAGATCTGTTTTCGCAAATTTAGAAAAATTGTTTTCTGCATATAAACGTGTGTTTCTATTATGCAAATGACTGATTCATTCAATGTATTTTCTCTCTTTCTCATGAGAGAATTATTCTAAACTGATTCGCAGTTTTCGACTTCAAATTTTGGCGAAAAGTAGTAAGATGAAGAAAAGCTTATCAATACTACTGCGTATTAATAACTTCTTTTCGTTGTCAGACAGAAAATCTCACGTCTATTTGAAATAGAAGGTAACATGGGTAAAGTTTTTCGTTCTTTTTTCGTCTCGTCTCGTCTTGCTGTGTATGATTACGATGTTTTTATCTTTTGATCATATTATCTTTTCAATGACACATTAAAAAAAAACAAAAGAGTAAACTAAAAAATAATTCAACGTCAGTGATTAGTCTTGCACTTTATTATTCTCCATCGAACGAAGAAATACGCACTTTCTCATTCAGCATCTAAATACATATACTAAACAATTTTTGTTTAATCTTAAACAAAAGTGTTCAAGAAATTTGGTCGACACGAAAAGTAGTAGATTGGAATATTAGTCGAGAAATTCATGATAAAAAAAAAAGAAGTTTTTTGTTAAAAATCTCAACTCTGACCGTAAAAAGCAAAAATGAAATAACACAAAACGAATCATTAAAAAGAAATTCTTAACATAATAAGAGTGAGTTCGACATTTACATTTAACCAATCGATCATGTTCCAATTACCGACAAGTTTTAAGGTTAAGTGTTTTATCGATAAGAGGACCAAAGCCTCTACAGAGAGTAACAAAAGTTTGCTTTTTTTTCAATTGTATTTAAAGTAAATGTTAACCTTGTATAAAAACGCCTGTGGCAAGCTTCCGTAATAGTTTGAAATTTAACTAAATGAAGAATCTATTAATCTAATCAGTTTTATATACAACGAGCTCTGCACTATAATAATATGGATTATTAAGAGAAAATCACAGGCATGAACTTTTTTCTTTGTAATACTCTAGAACATCTTTCTTACGTCTCTGTTTGCTCTCTTTTATTGTTGTTCAACTTAGTTTTCTCAATCAAAAGCTTTACTTCTGAAAGATTCTTTTCCTTTAATTACAAAATTTTTCGAAAACTTAAGGAAAATATTGATTAAAATCGCAACCATTTGAAATGTGTTTTTTTTTTCGCCGAAAAAAAAACTGTTTCGGAGTTAACTATAGAGGGATATCAGTAAAGGTATCTACTTCATAAATTAATAGAACACTTTTGAACTTCGAAATATTTTGCGAAGATGTTCTAAGAGTTTCTCAGGCTTTCTATGATACTATCATTAAGCGAATCTAGAAAAAAGCTGCAAGAAAAAAGGCATAAATACCGGAATCTTTAACTTGTGATATGTGTCGCTAAAAGCACAGCTCTACGTGCCTTAATTAGTTTTAATGATAAAATAGGATATGGCCATATGTTATATTCATGTTCAATGACAAATAGATTTAATGCGCGTCTTAAAGCCGCGTTTTTATCAATAACCAATGATCGTAAAAATCATTTTTTCGATATAATTTGTTCTATGTAATGGCTGTTCAACCAGTTGACTCTGAACTTGTTGAAAAGATAATATTGAGTACCTTTAAAGCATCAATTATAAACTTTGATATCGATTATCCAGACATATGCTCTTGTATGGGCAATAACACTATGAAGCTTATCACAGGAAACTTCGAAGAATTTAACTTTAGTCTGCCTGGTTTCGAATAGTGTCGAGACAGCAGTATCTGATGAGTTTTCTAACACTACGGATTCAAAGTTCATGCTGTCATATGATATTTTGAGAGTATTCGTAGAAGATTTAACTTGATCTTATGAAATTATCATGGTATCTGATATGAACCGATAGAAGCTCGATCAGACTGGTGACTTTATCATGTAAAATATTTTAGGTCAGAATTCGAGTATTTCCTATCACACATCGCTGCACCACTAGATTCAACTTTCATTTTGATGGATCTAAGTAGAACTCAACGAGCTCTACATGCTGCACTAATTTTTGTTCAGTTTTCGAAGAGTGATCATTTAGAAAATAACTCTATATTGCTATGCATATTCGTGTTTCACATGTATAGTAATAAAAAAAAGAAAAACTTTTTTAATTACGACTCTTGACTTCAGTGGATCCAAGTCAAGAATGACTGCAAAATGGCAATAAAATACAGTTGTTGTGTAACATACGAGGAGAACTTTGTTGTCAGACTGATTTCATCTTGAATGAAATAAGTTAACTGAAACAATGTCGATCAGTGAGGAATGACATCCATTAAATCTCCAATGAATCCATGTCATGATTCTTTGGTAAGGTTTCAAGGGACTCTTTTGGGATGCTATTATGAAAAACTAATTGGAGTTATTCATTTATTCAATTTTTTTTAAATTGTAGATTAATCGAACTTATTCATTGAAATTAAATTGTTGATTTTAATAACATGAGAAATTGATCTTATTTGATCTTCACCTGTTGGTGATACTGTTATTATTTCGTTTTAAACATTGAGTACTACAAACAAACAACATATATATTTCTGATTTGAAGAAATCAGTTCTTAGATTTACATAAAAGTCTTTATAAATTTATAAATCAAAATTTTTAAAATAAATTTCTTAAAAATAAATACAAATAAGTTTTCGTAAAGAATTCATCATCAAAATCTTCAATATTATTTTCTATACTACCAACAAAACAATGTTGATTGAAACAAAATAATACCAATGAACTTAAAAACGATTTTAATAAGTTATGCAGTAAACATAAAAGAATAACTCTTATCATTTTTAAACCTTATGTCATATTAGCAAATGCCATTTTCGATGGTAAATTTGTTTTGTTAATTTCAACTTTACTAATATTTGCAAAATTTGATTTAAGAATATGAATATGAACATGATTTCGTCTAATTCCATTTAATGATGATCGATTTCACATTTCCAACACGTATAATAGTGAAAAATCGATAGTGAACTCGTCAGTTGTACTAACAATTTACTGTCGGTTAGCTGATAGACAGGTTTTTTAACGATTTGAATCACATTGGTATATTTCTATAACATAAATTATAATACTTAGTGACATCTGCTGAAGCTCTTACTATAGAGTATGACTTCAGGAAAGTGATTGGTATCGTTCTGATTGCAGCTTGACGACGAAGAGAACGATTTGACAGTTGTATCTATAGAACATGAAAACTTTTATTAGTATTATAAAATTAAATAAAACAAAACTTCTAAGTATTTTTAATTCTGATGAATAATCATGGTTCGACCTTGCAATAAACATGAATGGTAAAGATGGAATATATTTACTTTTACAAAAATTGCAAGTACAGAACCAATTTCTTATTTGATATACCTATCATGTCAACATACGAGAATTTTAAATACTGCACATTCTTATGCATGAATTGTATCACATGTTCATTCTTTTTTCTCGATTCTTCTTCGACACTTATTTTTAATCACTAGTCAATAATTCTATTTATTTCTTTTCCGATGAATTGTTCATCTGCTAAGTCATCAAATTATGCTTCCGGCGCTTTTTAGAATTTCACAATTGTAATGACTGATTTTATGAACATCAATGAATACTTCTGTCTCTTAAGACCTACTAATGAGTGTACTTCAAGTTTTTCCTTCTTGATTTGCTTCCACTTTTGTTTTTCTACGATATAAGTTAATCATTAAATATGCGCATACTCTTTTTTTACTATTTTCCTGATTAGTGATCATTTTGTTAATTGAGACCTAAATAGATCAATGGAATTAATTTGAGAATTATTTAGACTTCATTTTATACTCAGTAAATTCAGAGATCTACCGCCAAATCTCTGTCTTGTATATGATCGTGAATATTAAATAAGATTTTTCATATATTCTTAATTGTTTTTCTAATAATAATAACAAATCGATATTGACAATTTTATTATCTTGATGAAGGAACATCGTTTGCTTCATATAAATATGAAAAATATATCGAACTAGTTGAAAGAAAATTTTACTTCAAAAAAGTATTTCTTATTGACAATCTTGCTTTTAATTTGACATAAATAAAAGTTATATTATTCAACATATTCAAACATATAATAAACATTTTATTTTTGTTTAATTTCAAAAATGACTCAATAAAAAGAAGAATAATAAATAAAGCAATATGCATTCTTTCTGTTAATTTAATTACAATCATTTTCTTTCATGTTTTTTTAATTAAGAAAATTAATAATGTTACATATTTTTAACGTAGTTTCCATAATATGTATGAGTATGTGCTTGGAAACAGTACATTAAACAAATTTTATTCTACTATATGAAATTGACATTAAGATTGTTCCATTGATGTAAGATATATCCGACTCAAATTTTATTTTTATTTTATTTTTATTCTTCTGATCATGAAAAAGAAAGGCAAACAAACCATGCGTTTTTTCCTTTTTTTTTCTCTCCACTGCCACGTCCTCACTTTTTTTTACCTACCAAAAAGAAGAAGAAAAAAACGAAAAGAAAACGAGATCGAGCCATTATTATGTAATCTATATTATTGGCATTGGTTATATTTGTATTAAAATATTGTATTTAAAAAGCAAGTGTGACGTTCGAATAAGAATATATATGTACAATTTTTTTTGTAGACACCTTACATAAAATAAAATAGCAAAGGATATGCGTTATTTATTACAATTTCTACTGTCATTCTAGATTGTTTATTTGATCAATCGACGATAAATATAATATTTAATACATATTTTATGGTTACATTCTAAATTAAAACAACATGGAAGAAAAGACAGAACAAAAATCAAATGGAATAAATGATTCATTTACACCATTAAAAATATTAAATACAAAAAATTTATCAACAACAAATAATGCAAATGATGATATTGACGATGAAATAGATGATCATTCAAATGAAATAGCTGAATTAAATAGTCGAATTAAAAATGATTTTATATCATATTGTTTATCATTTTTACAAGAAGATGAAGAAGCTCGCGAATGTGTTCAAGTTGTATGGAACAAATATTTACAATGTGTTGGTGATGTTGCTATGGTGAGTTGAAAGAAAAAAAAAAAAAAAAAAACATAATCAAATCAAATAATATTTCTTAAATTTTATTTTATTTTTAATCTATAGATATCTGCATTTTTTGATACGCTACCATTTAATATTAAAGCATCTGTATTACAAAAATATCAAAATGAAATCATTGAATGGTGTCGAAATTTATTTCATATTAATTGTGATACATTACTTTATTCATCATTTTATTCTGAAACATTTCTACGCATAATACGTTATGCACTTAAACAAATAAATAATGATAATAGTTTATTATTAAAAAAAGCTATTATCTATGTATCAACTGATTTTGATATTAATGTAAAAAATGATTTATTATCTTCAATATCAAATATTAAATTTGAACATATACAAAATGATATGACACATGAAGATATGATTGATATTAATCAACTTGAAGAATTAATAAAACGTGATTTAAATGATATTAATTCGTATCCATTTATGGTCATTGCAAGTGCAGGTAAAGATATTTAAAAAAAAAAAAAAAAGAGAGAATGATCGTTTGAGAACTTTTAAAATTTTCTTTAGGTACTAATCTATTGGGTCATTGTGATGAATTAACAAAAATAAAACAACTTTGTAATCAATATAATCTTTGGCTTCATGGTATAGGTGATTTATTAGGTTCATTAGCATTGTTATCAACAATAAAAGAAAATGTTAATATTTGTTGTGATAGTTTAACAATTGATATTGTTAAATTATTAGGTATTCAAAATTTACCTTATCTAACATTTTTTTTTCGACCAACACTCGACATAAAACAAGATAAACCAACAGAATCTAATACTATACAAGATGAACGATTAAATAATGATAACGTATTACCAAAATCAACAACAACTACAAATATATCATCATCATCGACAACAACAACAACAAATAATAATTATAATAATACATTAATATCTCATTCATTTGATGATATTATTTTACATAGTCCATCAATTAGTTTTTTAAGTATATGGTCTATTAGTCAACGATGTTCAAAAACTCATGTTCTTTATCATATGAAACATTCATCAGATTTAACAAATTTATTAGTAAAAAATTTAAAACATATTAAAACATTAAAACTACTTATTGATATTGATGATGATAATCAAAAAATTTTAACTTATAAACGAATTTGTTCAGGTGATGCACCGGATGATCCATTACCAAAAACTGTGGTTCTTTTTCGTTTTGAAACTAGTGATGTACCAGAAGTATGTATATTTCAATTCTCAGTTTCAACTCTATACTCGTAGTTTTTATTTGCTAGCAAAATTAAAATTAAAATTCATGTTAAACCTTATGACTTTAAGTTGCTAGACGGTTAGACATGTGCATGACTAATTCTGGTCCCGGTGTTAGAATTGAAAATCTCTCTATAGCCGTGAAGCATAATAAAGTTTCGAAAACTACGTTTTGTAGAGAAATCTTTTCTCTACAATATAAGGCTAACGCGAACGCTTTGTGCTTATCATAGCCGGTGAAAATGGTGTCAGAGGCGACCGGGACCGGGAGTAGTTTGGTCCCGGTCATTATACTTGCTAAATTATTTCATAACGAGAATCTGTAAAATATTTTAAAACATACAGGCAGGAGGAGCAAAAATTTCTCCACATAATGCATTGTTACAGAATAATTTAAGAATGCAGTTGATGAAATAGCAGGTCAATGTTTGACCAGGACCAGAAAGTGTTTTTCGGTCCCGTGCACATCTCTATAGACGGTATTCTGTTGAAAAAAAAAACAATTTTTTTGTCGACAGGTTGTTGATAATTCAAGTTTTTGACATTATATAGATTGAAAATTTAGTTTTCGAAATAGAACAAACATTTTCCTATCGACTGATATATGGCTTATTGAAAAATAATCCTTTTTTTTTTTTATTGATGTCGTTGGCAAATGTAGAATTGCAATCGATTTTAGAAAAGGCTAAATTTCATCTTCAAGAGGATCTTCATTCAGAATAGAACATATACTGTTCGATTCTTATTGTCATGGAACATCGAGTCAGGTTTTTCTCCCAACAATTCGAGTTTTATTTGCTTTTTTATTATTAGCTACAAAAATGGAAAATTTTTAAAAACGCTTATTTCTTGTTTCTAATTGAGCTGCAGAAAATATTTTATTTACTTATTTCTGCCGAGTAATGTATTGTTTTTTTTCATAGTTTGGTCAATTCTTTAACATACTATAAACATAGAATTAAATAACGGTTTTGAACACTTTTTATTTTTATCGCTAAAAAATGAAAAAGAAAATAAATGTGAATTTTTGTGTAAACAGAAACATGAGTCGATGTATCAAGACGTAAACAATCAAACAAAAATATATTCTATTTTGAGTAAAGATCTTCTTGATCATAAAATTGAGTCATTCCTGAAATCAAGTGTAATTTTGCGCTTACAAATAATAGAAATAGAAAAACAAAAACTCCATAAACAATCAGAAAAAAAAGTCAAAATAATATTCAATGAAAATTGACTATGATAATATTGTCATGTTTTTTATTCTCCATTAACTAATTATTTTTCAATTAATCATACATAAATAGATAGAAAAATATTTATTCTTTTCCGACAATTAACATATAGCTCTATGTAATATCGATAGTTTGAATTATCAACGATTCATTGAAAAATGATTAATTTTTTTTTTTCAATAGAATTAAGTCTATCGACTCGACGTTATGGATTTTATTCTATGAAACATAATATTCCATTTAGATTGACAATTTGGATGATTTATATAATTATATTGAACTTCTTAATCTTTGGTTATTTGATAAACTTTCTCAACAATATCCAAAAATGAATTTAGAATTACTTAAAGGTATTCATTTTCAAATGTTAAAATCTGATGATAATAATTCAAATCGAACACCAGCTCATGCTATTCGATTTGCTCCATTAGAACATTTACTTGATGTTATTGATGAAACTGAAATACAAAGTTTTAGTGAGGATATACAACGTTACAGTGATATTCTTGTTGCAACAATGACTGCACGTGCACGTCTTTCATCAACTGTAAGTGGATATGAAAATCTTGTTTCTATTTCAATGCCTAATTGGGCTGGTATTGGAGCTGTTCGTTATATACCAAGTCATATTAATATAAATGAACAATCTGATATATCATCATATGATATAAATACAATTCAAGCTGAATTAGCAAGAAAATTACAAGCAAATGATTCAGCATTTTCATTAGGTGGTGGAATAAATGAACATGATTCAATGTTTTATTTACGTTTAGGAATGATTAGAAAATGTGATGATCTTGATGTATTATTACAAAAAATAGCTGATTTTGGTAAAGATACAGAAACAGCATTAAAATATGTTGAAGATATGGCTGAAAAAATCAAAGTAGGTATAGAAAAAGTTCAAAAAGATTTAAAAAATGAAAATCAACAAATACTTGCACAAGAAGGTCTATTAAGACAATTACCAGTTATTTCAAGTAAAATTATATAAAATTATATTTTGATATCTCAATTGTTTTTTTTTTTTGTTCATTTAGGTATCATGTCATGGTGGAGTCCATCTCCAACAGCATCATCATTAACTATGAAAGGTCGATCATTTGACTTAAATTCCGGTCTTATTGAATCTACTGAAGATACATATGCTTATCGTATGCAAATTAATAAACAATCTCCTCATGCACTTACACATAATGACGGTGAAACAGTTGAACTTTCAACAAATACTGATATTGCAACAAATTCTATTGATAGCATCCCTGAAGAAGAACAACAACAAAACAAATAAAACTGTGATAGACATATTATGTAGCATGCTGATCAATTCATTTTTTTTAACTTCCGAGTATTTTATCAAATATAGTGTCCGTTGAAATAAATAAATTAAAGTTGCTCTCTATGTGCTTCAATGTGCTTTTTTTTTTTATGATAAAAAAATTCATTTTTCTTCGGTTGGCTATGCTTCAGTCTCACTGGTTTCTTTCTTTTTTTCTTTTTGTTATTGTCTATGCTTAGTTCTTCAATATAATAATAATGAATAAATTGCTTTCATTCATTTTAAAGAAATTTATTTTCAATATATTTCGATTAATTATTGACATAATATGAGTATTTTTAAATAAAAATATGAAATTTTATGTTGATAAATTGACTCATATATAAAACAATTTCATTTATTTTAAAGAAAGATAGAATAAAAAAGTTTTTCATAGTAATATTTAAGTAAAATATCACACTAAGTACAGGAAATGATTTATTTAAATGTACTATATAAATCTCAATGAAGTCTCTTAAACTCTACAATACGAAATAATTAAATGTCAACATATTTGATATTATTTAGAATTGACTTTCTAGATAGTAAACATGAATAGTTTCTTGTTTTTTTTTTCTTCATATAATGAGAGTAGACAAGATTGTTATTATTACTATTTCCAAGACCATTAAAAATATACTCATCATCTATCCTGATATTTTATATTTATAGAATGACAAAACTAGACGATCCTATATTATAAGTATTTGTTACCATTGCTGAAGGTCAACTCATTCATTAAACTAATGCTATTAATCTAACAGAAATCTCGGCAACTGTTAATTATATAGATATGCTAAAAAAAAAAAAATTTTTTATTTATAGAATCAAAATGCAAGAAATTTATTTTCTATTACAAAATGTTTCATGTATACAACCATATTTCAATTGTTCATCCAAATCAGATAATAGAGAATTCTCTAGAGATCTTCTAACAGAACACTAAGATTCATCGTTCAATAAATTATTCAATAATTATTTTAACAATTGTGATAAAATAATTGTTGAATTTTGAATATAACATATTAGTTATGAAATAGAAAATAGTTCAATTTTCAATAATTGATTTATGAACAAATTTTTCATGAGTTTTCTTCTTTTTTTTTTTTTCCTTACTTGAATTGTTACAATACAAGACTTTCTTTTTCTACCCAATATTGATTGTGAATCTCTGTGAGCGACTGTTGATTTCCGCTCGATTCAGTAGACATTATCAGAAACGGAACAAACGATTGACTATGCCATCAAAATTTGATGCTTACAGGCGTAAGGCGGGCATGGAAAAAAAGATTTCTTTTCTCTTTATTCACGCCTAATGACACATTGCTTCCTAGATGAGATATAAGATGTATTGATCGAGGCCATAGACATGTATTCAACTTATCAGTTATAACTCCATTTATATTTTATTATAAGCTTATATGAAATTTTATGCGTATGTTGTATAATCACTCTTTCGTGATCTATCGTCAATGAACTATTTTCATCCGTTCGTTACTAGAATAACAAAATACTCAAAATTAGATCGTTATAATTCCTATGTTTTTCCTAATTATTTTTTTCACCTCTTAACAATGATTTTTAAATGCATATATGTTATCTGTATAGTATGAGAAAATGTAAAATATCTTATTAAATAGACATTATCTGTCATTTTCTATTTAAATAAATGTCATTGATTTGGTATGTTCATCATCTAAATCCTTATTGATTTTTATTTGTTCTACTTAATATAATTATCTCCTCATAGAGACAAGAAACTTATGTCACAATTTATCTATTGATTTTTTCAACAACATACAGTCAAATAATCATTTAAAAAAAAAAAGAAAAAGAAAATTGTAAGCAAAATATGTAATCATTAGTTAATTTGAAATCATTCAACAGGATTTATCATCCGATGGAATTCATATATATGTTATGATTTATCCCATTTTTCTTTTTTTTATTGATTAATGAACCAAGAAAAAAAAATCGCTTTATTTTATGGATTGCTTTTAGAATAGATAGACATCCGTTTTGTTCTCTAAGAAACATCTACTTGAAAGATTTTGCATATTTCTTATCATTAAAAGACTAAGATTATGTTATTTATATCCGTTTTCAAGGAAAATCTTTTTCCTATTCTCATTCGTTTGCTTCGTTTGTCATTACTTTAATAGATTTTTTTCAACCACTACTTGTATAATGATATTCTTTTCATCATATTTGTATATTTTTCAAACATAAGTAACAATTCGTTGTATAAAGATCGATTGAATATTTTCAAAATAAAAAGCAACAAGAAAAACTAATTGACAAGCATTCAAATGTAAAAAATTGAACACATGTTATGTAGCTATAAAGTTTTTTCTTGGGTTCTTTTCCTTTGGTTCATATGTCTTCTAGGTAAAAATATCAATTCAATCGAGAAAGATGGTAACAATGCATCTATTTTTAATAGTAACGTTGAGATAAAAAAAAATGTTCGGTGAATTTTTTAGTGAATTATTAATCTATGGCAAAAGAATACGCATCAACGCTTCGACGCGGTAACCCTCAAAGAAAACTATATAAGCAGGAAAAGACAAAATCTGGCGACACAAAAGATAGGATGAGAAAGGAAGATGAATTACCACTTTCGTCATCATCATCATCACCATCAACATCATCACTATCTACCCATTATCATTATTCCCATTTTGTAGAAAAAGAAAAAAGACAATCTTTTCTTCTTGCTATATGACTCGTGACACATGCAAAGAAAAAAAATGAGAAAAAAAAAGGGAGGAGAAAGAGAGAGAGACAAAGAGAGACAGAGACAGAGCAATGTGGAAATCAACAAAAATGAAAATATAAAATAGCAAATCTGCTACGTAGTGCGTGATATATTGTTGCGACAACACGTCTGTTCTTTTCTTTTTCTTTTTCATCTTTTTTTTTTCTCATTTTTTTCTATCGACACCTATTTCGCTTCCGCTATTGCACATAAACATACACGTATATATACATTTAAATTTATATAAATTATAGTCAGATGGACGACCAAAGTCAATGATACGGATGAATGACTCATCTCCGGGCTGACGCATAGTCAGTCTTGATTTATGTCGTAATGTGCCATGCATCTCATACTGTTAATGTTACTTCATTTTATTTGGATCTACAATCAAATCTTCTCTTTTGCTTTACAAACAGTCACCACAACAACCATGACAACAGAAATGATTGATTTGCAAGATGGTCATCCAAATCATCGATTGTGGCAAAAAATGATTGATACAGGACGTTCATCAGCTGGTAACTGGTATGTTAAGAATTTTGATTAATTTTCTAATAGATTTTTTTTTTCAATTCATTCTGTCACTTTTCTGTTCTGCACACTTTCAAAGTTTATTAAACTAATATAGAAAAAAAAAAAAAATTTATGAATAGCATTCGCATGAAAACTAATGAGATGTTCGTGTTGTTGATAATGATATTGCTGTGAACCATATTTCAATCTTATGATAACAAACACGATATAAAATAAAACTAAAGAACAATAGAAAAACTAACTTGGAATGACAAAAATATAAACTTGCATGTTCTTCTTTTCTTTTTTTTTTTTTCGTTAAAAATAGAAATATGTAATTTTACTTCATTTATTTCCTTCTTCCTCTACAGATTTATTATTATTAACATCTAAACCTGTAATGAAATAGGAATATTTTTTGTCAAATTATATAAGATACATGTTGACTACTTAGTCTATCGGTTGTTAGCAATGGTTGAAATAGTGAATGAAATGTTTGACTAAAATAGAAGTAGCAATAGTAATAATAATTATTATTATCATTATTAGACAAAAAAATATAGAGACAAAATGTTCATTGACAGAACCATTGCTTGAAGCTTGTAATACATGCAATCCGGATGTTCAATACCCTTGAACTCATAGCTTATTAATTTCCTTACCTTGATTCTTCTAAGATCATTATTAAAAAAGAATACAAGATAGTTTAGCATGAAACGTAACAGTGGGAACAAATTCTTCTTCATTATTCAATATAGCAATTAAATAAAAATTGCTTGATCTAGTCGTTTAGCATGCATGCAATTGTATGTTAAGATAATATCGTCATTCTCACAAAAAGAAAAGTCATCACTATAATACTTACAGTTCGTTGAAGTCGCTGTGTGTTCTCGTTCAATGTGCTCACAAAAGCGTTAACAGACCATAGTAATCCCTCTTCTCTTTCCATTATTTTTAAAGTCAGTCACAAACATATCTATATTTCTTTGCCGAGTTGAGTCTGTTGTTTTCTTTCTTTTTGCTATTCATCATTCCATCAAAAACAAAACAAAAAGAACCAAACTATGATCTGAGAGATACACAACAAATTCAATGATAAATTCAACATACACATATAGGCATAGTGCTAACATTCATGTGTTCCGCTGCATTATGATTGAATCAATTACGGCTACTCAGTATGTGTACACATTCTTATGCTAATCAGTATAAGAACCAAGCACTGCAGCAATCATGATAAGTTAGACAAACATACTACAATTATCAAAAGACAACCATTAACAGAAAGAGACAGAGAGGCTACACGCCTTTGAAACTTGTCTATTGATTATAACAATATTGAGGACAAACGAATAAGAACACGATTGAATTATAATACTAGAGAGTCTAATGGAGAGACGGATAAATAAATAGGAACTCAGGGAATTGTCACTTGTGTTACTGATCCATCCCAGTTAACATCAATAATAATAACAATAGTAACAATCGACGTTTGGAATGATATTATAAATAAGAATCAGTACGCCGTGTATAGCTTATTTCTAATTATCATGCGAGAATAGACTCACAAAACAGATTTGCCTTAACAGACTAAAAAAAAAAAGTAGAAAAAGATGCTCATACTGATGATTATAGTCTTTATGAGCCTCTCAATCTCTACGGGTATTATTACATTCATTCACACCCTCTTGTCGCCGCTGCTGTCGCTGTATTCATTAAAATGGGTGCACATTGAATCTATAGTTCTTTGTTCTTTCTCGATTTAATACAGAAAGACGTCGATCCCAAACTGTAAAGGCAAAGAAGAAGAAAAAAGTGAACACTGTAAATAAATGTCGACAAAGCAACGTAATCATTTACTATATTTGTTGCTTGCTATGAATCGAATAGCGTTGATGCAAATTGATTTTGAGCATGACGAGCGAGCATGACGAAAGAGAAAGTTGAAAAAAAAACGAGAAAAAAAAGAGGCACAGAAAGAATAAGAGAAAAACGACAATAGAAGAAGAATGGAGGAGACTCGAAGCAAGGTTCCGATCAGTAGGCAATGTCTAAAAATCCCTTCATTGAGTATGTGATGTTGTGAACAGCTGCAGCACAAAAGTTGCAACATAAGAAGCATACCTCGGTAAACAAGAACAGAAACAAGAAAAGAATCGAGAAAAAAAAATATAGTAAAGAAAAGATGTTGGCAACAATAGAGCAACAGCAATAGCATAGTGATAATTGTCTATCTTCATATATGCTTATATGTTGAAATGTTAGTCAGTGTCACTCATGATTCGAACCAATATTATAATCGTGATTATTCTTGATGTACTTTTCTTTCAATATCCATTGTTTTGTGAAGAACAGTTAACAAAGAAGAAGAATGTGATCAATAATGATCGTATCGGGTGGGTCTTTGACTGCTTTCTTTTCTTAATTATATTCAATGGAAATTTTTCAAAGAGTGAAGTTCCATTTTTCTTTTTCTCCTTTTTCTTCGACATTTTTCTTTCTAATTTAGTCTAGTATCGACATCAGTTGATTGACGAATAACAGTAAACAACAGAGAAGCAAAACTAAGACGGAAGTTTAGAAAGAAAATCATTCGGAGAGAAAAACTATGTTTCTATGAAGTACAAGTGTATGGTGCAGAAATGTTTGAAAGCGACTAATGAACTACTATATAGCTATCATCATTCGGAACATGTTTCATGTCTAAGTCTTATAGGCTTATGTTATGTTTTCTTCCATTAAAAGAAAAAGATCTCAATATCTGCAGACGAACGAAGTTAGTCCTTGACCATCAAGAAGCAACTTAATCCAACAAGAATTTATCGTTATATTGCATAAAAAGAACACCTCGCCATAGGGAAGCACTTGTTATTATTTTTTCTGCCATAGAAATCATTATTATAGTACTTTTCGTCTTGATAACAAATGCTGAATTCCACATATGGACGTTTATTTGACATCATATCGCACAGAAAGGCAAAAAAACATTCTTTATTCAATGTCTTCGTTTGTATAGATGTAAACATTCATTGACTATTGTAAATTAAAACTATTAAAAGTCTTATAAACAGCTTATAAACCTTTCTATATATTCTAATATCGTGTTGCCTCACATGATCATGATAAATGATGGAAAGTCAATTTGGAAAGATAGAAAAAAAAAAAAAATTAGAACGCAAATAGAGGAAATGTATCGCGCATTAAGTTGAAGATTGTTACTAAATTGATTACTTTTGTGATTAAAAAAAAAAAATTCTAGAATCCTTATTATTTTATGAATGAGAGAGGAGATAAATTAAAAAGCAATCGACAAACCAACAGCTTATGTTAAACTTCTTATTGACTTGCTTAATTGAAACACCGGAAATATGCTATAATAAACCTGGGATCAATATAGAATTCGAGACTTATATTAACCTTACAGTTTCCTAGTTGGATATCTAATTGTGATTATTTGATCGTAGTACCGGATGGTACTCAATCTAATGATGTCTATGTTGATGATAGTTATATGTTTGCTTTCGAATCTTTGTTAATGATGAATTGACATTGACAATGACCCATCTTGGTTATGTGTGAAAATATAATGCAAACAGAAAAAAGCATCGTAAGAAGATAAATGTGTTTTTTTTTAATATCATAAATGATAATGTTTTTCTTTATCACATCTGGATTTAAAAGCTAATTTGTCGTTCAATTAAGTTTTGTTTTGTTTTGTTTTTTTTTTTTTCTTTTTGAAAAAAGAAAAACTGAAGAAGAATCTTCTTGCATTAATACTTCCGTCCGAAGACATGACGAGCTATAATTTCTTCGTCGTCTGGTTCTTTTCTTTGCATCTCTCTTTTGCGCTCTCTTTCTCTCCCTCCCTTTCCCTTCTTTCTCTCCTCCCTTCTCGCTATCTTTCTCTTTGTCACTTTTTTTCTCTATCGCTCGTCTTTACTTCTTGTCGGTTTTATGTCCTCGTCATTATTGTTGTCGCCAATCTCTGCATTTTTGCATCCCTTTACCGAGAATATACACGCGCACATCATTGCTACGGAGTGTCAGTCAACTAGTCAGATAAAACTTATATTCTGTGCACACGAGCATTCATTTACTAAAGACACCTTATACTAAGCAGTAAACCGAAACATCTCGCATAATAAATTAATTTTTATATTGATAAGTGTTTATTTATCCTTTTTGGTGCAAAATGTCATCATTGTTAGCATCCATATATCGCTAGCATCTATCACTACTAATTCTATATTAAAAGACGTATGTGTTTATTATATCATGTTAGTGGATTAAGAATTTTTGTTTTTATCGGCCTTGTTATGTTCTTTTTCGTACATTAATCGATGCTATACATCGTTGTTGAAAAACATTCAAAAACAAACTCGTATTATCCATCGTTTTTCGTGATCAACAACAAATTATGTATCTACGTATCGATTTACATATTTTAACAACAATCTTCACACTTATTTCTAGTGCAAATTTACTACGCAATGATGCATCAATAAATACAGTTGAAGAATTTCTTGATACACTCATTAATTCAAGTCATTATGATAGACGTATTCGACCATTTTTTGATCAACACAGTTAGTAGATTATTAATGATTTTTTTTTTTCTTTCATTCTTTTTATTATTATTATGATTATTATTATTATTTTGTTCGATTATAGAACCATGCAACGTAACAATGACGATTCATATTAATACGATATCAGCCATTAATGAAGTTAACATGGTAAGACATGTTCATTGATGAAAGTAGAATTTATTTTATTCAAATGATATTCATAATATATGTTTTATTTTTGATTAGGATTATAATACAGATTTGATTTTTCGTCAATCATGGTATGATCCAAGATTGAATTATTCTGGAACAGATTGGGCAAAAAAATCACCACAAATCACATTGCATTATTCACTTATTGATCGTATATGGGTACCTGATTCATTTTTTCGTAATGCTAAAGAAGGTAAACGTAGTGATATAACAGTACCCAATCGATTAATTCGTATTCATCTCGATGGAAAAGTACTTTATAGTCAAAGGTTTTATTTTTTTTTTATTTAATTATATATTGAATATTTTCATTTATTATATTTTTAGACTTTTACTTAAGCTTGATTGTCAAATGAAATTGCAGAAGTTCCCACTTGATAATCAAACATGTGTTGTCAACATTGGCAGTTGTATGTTAAATCTTTCTAAAAAAGGGTGTCTCAACTTCTCTTCTTTCTCTTTGTAAAAACTAAGAAGGATTTATGTCTGCAAGGTCTTTGAATTAATAAAAAAATAGAAAAGAAAAATATTCATTTATATAATGCATATTTAATTATATATTTATTTATATTTTTTGTCTTTAATTAGACGGTTTCGACACAAATGATTTAGCTTTTTTTTGGGATGAAGCTCAAAATATAAGTGCTATTCGAGTTAATGAAGATCTAGAAATGCCTGATTTTGTTTTAAGTAATCATGAAGCACGATATTGTAATCGAACAACAGCAACAGGTTAGATACATATATACATATTATTCATTGTTTAAAAAAAAAAAAAAAAAACTTTCTTCATTCTTCTCACACTTGAAATATGCTGCTTATATAGAGAAAAGAAAATCTTTTTCATTTTTGTTTTTTACAACTAAGCTTTCCTTCACTCCGCTCCTAGGCACATTTACTTGTATCGAAGTGCATCTAGCATTACAACGAAATCTCAATTTATATATTCAACAGCTTTATTTACCGTCGACATTGATTGTTACTTTATCATTCATCGCATTTTGGATCGATTATAAATCACATCCTGCACGAACCTTATTAAGTTTACTTTCCATTGTTACTATAACAACAAAGGCTGAAGGTACAAAAAATTCTTTTTTTTTTGTGCTTTTTCGATTACAAAGCTAATACACACGCGCATTTCGCTTGCACATTTATTTAATCACATAATATATTTTTTGCACCAACATTTCCCTTTTGTTTGTTTCCAATCGATTTTTATTTTTAATACTTGCATCGATTCATATTTTGTAATTTATGATTTGTTTTATAAGTTGTTATACTATAATTGCCTTTCGACTTTCTCTCTCTCTCTCTCTCTCTCTGATATCTACATAAGCAGCAAAAGTGTGCAATGAAGAAAGTTTTTTTTTTGTCTATGACTCTTTACAAAATGGCTTTTTTTTTTAAAACGATGAATTTTCTAGGCAGTTTTACATGCCTTCTTGTTGTTCTACATTTAAAACGTTTATTTGGTTATTATCTTGGTGAGTTTCATCAGATTTATTTGAGAAAAAAAAAGTTTCAAGAAAGCCATTTACTATAGTTCAAGTTTATATACCTTCAATGCTCATTGTAATCCTTTCATTTGTTTCATTTTGGATTGATCATAAATCGGTAAGAGTAACAAAAATGGATTAGAATTGATATTTTCATTGAATATATATTCAGGTTCCAGCAAGAATTTCAGTCGGACTTTTGACTGTTCTTACCGTTACTACTCAAAGTTCAGGTAACCAATAATAATTTCCACAATGCCTGTTGCTTGTTTATTGCTTAGCTTTTCTTGCTTATTATAATACTAATTATAAAAAGTAGCATATGACATATGTCTTTCATTTAGGTATACGATCACAACTCCCACGTGTGTCATATATCAAAGCAATTGACGTATGGATGTCAGCATGTCTGGTTTTTGTTTTTGCTGGTTTACTTGAATATGCATTAGTCAATGTTATTGCACGTAAAGGTGAATTAAGACAACAAGTTCGTTTTTCAAAAGAAGTAAGTTATTCATATAAAAACAAAAAAAAAAGAAATATTTTGTTATTTTTCTATTTCCTTCTTGTAATTATCAATTGTCTAGACATTGGCGTTTCTTGTTTTTTTTATTATAATATTTATTTTTATAGAAAAAAAGTTCGGACAGACCACCGAAATTAACTTTGATTCAAAGACTACAGAATGGCTCATCTTTTGCTGCTGAGAGAGTAAATTAGTCACTAGATTATATTTTATTTTCCCTTCTTCTTCTTTCACTCATTCACATACATATATTATATATATATATATATATCATCACAAATAATTTTATATTTCGTTTTAAATAATTTTCACTATACACATAATATTATTAGTCTTTTATTTTTATTTTCATATGATTTCCAAAGAGATTTATATATATTTTTTTCTTTATATTGTATAAGTTTATGTATTGTATATAATATTTTATTGAATTGGTTTTGCAGAAACATATTGAATATAATTGTTTTAGGTTATTGGTAATCGTCTTGCTCAAGTACATTTTTATAAAAAAGAAGATACACATGGTAGTGGTGAAACAATGGAAACACTTGTGCATAAGTCAAGTAGCGGTGGTGTTAGCGGTGATAGAAATATAAGTGGTAATGCTACTTCACATGTACAATATTCATCTATGTCAAATGCAAATGCATCGTCATCAACAACCCAACTCAATCCAATACCACAAGTTGTCTTGCCACAACCCGCTCGAATAGCAAAAGCTGCTAAACCTATTCGTGATAGTGCACAATTTGTAAGTTGAAATAAAAGAAAATTATCATATAACTTCTTTTTTTCTTCAAAGGTCGATCTTGTCTCTGCAGTTCTTTTTCCTGTTGCTTTTATTGTATTTAATATTATTTATTGGTAAGTTTATTTTAAGGAAAACAAAATAAACTGTAAGATATTCTATTTTGTTTTCTTCTTTTTTTTTTATTTAGGATGGTTTATCTTAATATGCACGTTGAGTATGTTCTAAAATAAGAATTACAACATACGCATGAATAGCAAAGAAAATAGATTTATTCTTTAAATGGTCTAGTCTCTAATTTTTCTTTTCTAATAATAGAAGATGTTGTTTCGTTTTCCCTTTTTGATTTTTTTTTTTTTTGCTTCTTTCTATTTTGTACTAGTCATCATCGAACAGTATGTGTACATGAATAAGTTTCTTTCTTTTTTTTTAATGTGATATATGATGTATGTGTTACATATTTTATGAAAAACAAAAAATAAATATTAAAATCTCTATTGACAACGTAATGAGATACTAAAGATTGATTATTCTTTTTTATTTAATTAATTTGAAACGATAAAATGAATGATGAAAATTCTTTAAAAAAGAAAAATAAACAACGACAAGTTCGTTTTGATCTGCAAACAATATCTTGTCAACCTATGAAAATAAAATGGACTATTGAAGAATTTAATGATATATTTAAACGATTTCAATGTTCAGTTACAGCTGATTATTGGCAAAGTCTAAAGAAACGTGTCTATGAAAAACATAATCGTCAAATTTAAGTTGCATAAAAACTATAGAATATGATATTGATAAATGTATATAAAATCTTTATTGAACATATTTGTCTGTCATAAAAAAAAAAAGAACATGAGAAAAAATTTATTTATTAATCATACTTATAAATATTTTTATCATATGAAATAGGTTTGTTGGGTATTTAGTCTTAATAAGGCGGTTTGTTTTGATCAAATCAATCGTTCTTCCGTTTTTTATTGTTAGTGTAAGAAAAACAAAAACTTAGGTTTTGAAAAATTGTTCCTGTTTTCATGATGACAATACAACATTAATTATCTTAATTAACTTAGTCATTCATCTTGTGTCAAGTTAGCAAAAAAGCGGAAGTTTTTTAAAAATCTTAATCAACATTTTTTTTATTAAATTATTTACTTTTATAGAGAAAACGTAGTTTAAAATAAGACAATGTTAATAGAAGAAAAACAAATACTACTTAAATTAAGAAGACTCAAGGTGTTTTTTTTTTGAAGGAAACATTGAAGAATAGAGTCAGTAATAAGTTATTGTTTAATAATTTAAAAAGATTTTTTTTTTTGTGTCTTTGGTTATTTTTTCAAGAAAGATGATCATTAGTTTCGTAATCATAGACCAATTAGAAAAATCTTCATGTTTCTATTATTGTTTTCTTTAGTATTTGAAAAATCCAGAAAAAAAACAACATTCCTGGGTTCAAAGAAAACTAAATACCAAAAGTTTCAAAAGATTCTGTAGAAGAACTCTGATCTTCACTAACTGTAATATTACAATCAGGACAAAAAAACATTTCTTACAAAGGTCATGTCCGTAAATTTTGTTTTTGGTGTTTAAAGCATAATAGACTTCTACATCAAAGTGTTTGCAACATTTTATTTTCGGCATTTATGTTCTAATAGATACGACAGAAGATATGACGAGTATTTTAAGTTTTCCACAAGCTTTTCAATCAGAATTATAATGATATACCGACCACTAATGAAGCTACTTAAGGAAAGAAAACTTCAGTATTATTCGTTTTTTGTATTATGTGAATTGAGAAGAAGAAACTGACATTTTCTGAAGGTCTATTAATACAACAAATTGTAGATGCACACCTTCGACATGTGAAAAGAAAAATTTAGAAGTCAAGCTAGAAATTACGAATCATGAGAAACATTGATAATATACTAACAAATACATGCATAGATATTACTTCAATAAAAGCAGCTGATTAAATAGAAATATAATACAATACCAAAAACAAACTCAAAACAATTGTATAAAAAAAAGCATGCTAAAAATTATTGCAAGATATGCTTCCAACTATTCGATTTTATTTACTAAGATCTGATTAATCGTATTCGACTAAGGATATTTTTTTTCTATTAGAAACAAATTTTTTGCAAAATTATTTCAAGATTATAATAAATCATTCAGATCGGTGAAGTTTATAAAGTCTATAATCACTGCTTAACCATTCATTTCATAGTATGTTTAGAATAATTTGAGAGAAGTTTTGTTGAATGCAAACGCTCAGAAAAGCTCCAACGAGTGTTTTGACAATGAACAACTTGTTTAAGACAAGTGAAATAGATAAGTGACAAATATGGACGTTGACTTTAAGAAAAAAAGCAAAGAATTTGCAAATGAAAATGTTAATATGGAGAGAACATAAGACGATAATTGTATTCTACAGAGTCCTAGAGATGTTACTCCATATATATGAAAGAAATTGATCATATTTATTCTTTGCCAGAGTTTTTAATATGAACTTAATAATAATTGATGGTCAACCTAGTGTGGAACTGATTCAATAGTCAAGAAATTTCAAGAATGTGAAGCATTCGATAGAATGAGTGTCATACATCAAATTGAATTTCATTCACTACTCATGTACTCCCCGAAATTTGGCCAATCAAAGTGGCTTATTTTTTTTTTTTTGTAGTTCTTTAGCTGAACCGAGACAAGTCAAACAAGGACCCTCAGCTTCCACTCACGTTTCAAATACTGCACTGTATATTTGCTTTCTACATGACTAGCCATCGTAGCAACTATATCAGATGCCAAAATTATCCATATAATAGTTAATATTTAACAAAGACAAACTAAAGAAAAAAAACTAAGAAATATAGATAACGATCTAAACAACAAGGAGATTAGTTTGGATCAAGTCAAAGATGAATTGCATTTGTTTATAACTGATGTTTCAGATGAAGTTTAATATACTTGATTATGATAAATATAACTAATTATGTCATAAGTAACAGTTATAATATATACAACAACAATAGATGATATAATATCAACTGAAAAATAAAACGACTCATTCCAAAGACTTAAAGAAAATAAAAGAATAAATAGTGAAAATTTCTCTTTATTCTAAACTTAAATAAATGATTTATTAACAGCTCTTCGAAATATTACACATGCTAATAGAAGAGTACATGTTATTTGTAGATGACCATGACTATTAATCATGATGTCGTAAACTCGCAAAGAGATGCTAATGTTATTTAAAACATTTAAAAAAAATAATACGCATTCCTATTTAAAAAAAAAAGAACAACACATATGATTTGATTTTGATAAATAAAATAAGAATTAATTTACCAAGCATAATAATCACATTTTTGTCCAGCATGACACGTATATACAACAACAGGATGTATTTAACTATAGTTTAAAGAATATTCGACACAGTATTCTTTATCTATAAATTCAACATGTTCATGAAAACGTTATGATTATTGATCATTAAATACAATTCGATTATTAACAAATAGGTTTTCTTTATTTTGTACATCACGTAGAAAATGATTGAATTCCATAATATGTCTCTTTGTTCTCCTCTCAAACATCACGTATTTCAATAATATTATCTTGCTTTCATTTTATTCATTGAATATCATTTCATAAAGAAGAATAAAACATCATTTATTCTGATTAATAATTTACTTATGTCATGTCTTAAAGAATCTGTGATAAAATTAAGAACAACTAAATGAAGATTAAAATTATTCATTTGAGGACTATGTTAGTAACATTAACACTGCATACGACCTTTTCTTGTTTGGATTTGTTTCCTAACTTGCGTTGAATCTCTAATTAGTTCTCTTCGTCAAACGTTTCAATAAGTAGAAAGCAATGATTGGGCTATGGCTTGGTTTTACATACTTGTGCGATATCAGCTGACCCATATGAAAAATAATGACAAAAAAAAATGATATACATAATATAGTAGTGGACAGATATATCTCTCCTACCAAATCTGAGCTTCCATTACACGCAGGAGATTTGTGTTATGCCCAATAAATGTTGTTGTGTATATAGTTTATTGATGATGTTTAGGGTGTGAATGTGCAAGGTGAGCTGGGTGCTGGTGTGTGTGACGTTTTATTCTCTTCTTACACGACACTAACATCGACATACCACTTACACATCCATATCTCTACAGTCCCACAACGTTCACACCCAAGAACATCAAATTTAACAGCCACAACCACATTCGACTCACACATCGATAAACATCCAAACTCGAAAAACATATCTATGTACAATCGCACTCTCAAAAATTAAATCACATTTCTATGCCGGAAGCATGTGCTACAAAATCGGAATACATTTGATGGAAATCTAAAGTCTTGATTGCATAGCGATCTATCTTACTAGATTATCTTTCATAATTATTTCTCGGGCAATAATGCAAAGCATACAACGCACATAGATACTGATTTTCAACTGAATAACTATCGAAGCCGTTCTTCCTTTTGCTTTCAAGATAAATGAAGTTTGATAACCATAGAAACTTTCAAAAATAATCAACCTGGACATTACCACCGCGAGAAACCAAGCATAAAATCATATGTTATTTAATTGAATGGTCTCTTCATTCATGCCGTCGTTTAACTAACCCGTTTTTCTTTGGCAGACTTATTTTTCTCATGATGTTCACTGAAGTATATACACATTAGAGTCTTTTTTAAGATCAAAATGCAGCGTAGCCTTATCAACCGAGAGAAAAAGATGTTTCGATGGGTCATGTTTATGAGAATGAATGTAATTTTGTCAGAAATTATACGTTCCTTAGTTTGATTATTTATTCATTTAAAAATCACATCATATGGCATGGCAGCTTGTTATATATAATAACAGTATATATTCGAATAAAACTTCATAGTTGTCTTCAAATGTCAGCGAACAAGCACAAGAAGGACAATGGCAACTCAAAAAAATTATTTGTGTAATCCTATTCATCGTCAATGACTAGTCTTTCTCTGTGCAGCACAACTCAAGCAGTAGAGATTCACTGATAATAATGACGAATGATTCAGTGACTCGGTCATCCGAAAGAAACAGTCCACACTGGGCCACAGAATATGACAAAAGCAAAGTTTTTACTACATCGAGTATGCTTAATTCTTTTACAGTCGCTATCGACGTATATGTTTACATGGTTTAATGCTTTATTTCCGTATTTAGTTATTCGAACGATTTTGGGATTCGAAGGTAGTTTGATCAATATAAATTGCCGAAGACTGTTTCCATCAGCACATATTGTTGTCGCTTACTTCGGAATACACAATTGTGGGATGTTAAACGTCGCTGATAAAGTTATTTCTTACTGTGATTCTTATGGTACTGAATCATTTTGCTCACTCATCCCTAACACAGGAATTTTTGGTGATCCTTGTTATTCTGCGGTTAAACAGCTTGTGATAACTTATTATTGTGATTGATCTTTTTTATTCTCGTTATGAATATTTATTCACTTTTCTCTCGAATAAATGCGTAATACATGAGAAGCACATACATGTTTACAGTTTTGACGTTGTTGGACCAGACAATGCTACATTGAATGCTTCGCAAACCATGTCTGAACAGTTTTATTTGGAAATGTAAAGATGCAGAATGTCACTGAGTATGCAGGTGTAGATATTTGGGTACTGCTGTTCTCATGAAACATTTCCTCACTGACACTCACCCACATCGACACCTGCTGAAAAGTTAAGAAAAGAGATGTCATTTTTGATAGACTCATTTTTTCTGAGATATCGTTTGTTTTATTATCCCATATCATAATCATTTATTAAATTTATAAATGAAATTGTAATGAATGTTCATAAGACAATTATCAAAATAATTTTTTTATCATGCTAACTTAAAACTAAGTGAATATCAGCGCGTCATCAGCATAATATTTAAATTCACCTTAAACTTGAATTTGTGCTAATTTAAATACAACATAAGTTGAGAGGGAAACGCATACCCTATAGGCATATATGTTCGCTTAACATCTTACCTAAATAAATCTTCTTTCATGCTATTTTCAGCTTTTTGCTGTTGACCCTAGGTAAGTGTTCAGAAATGAAGCACTATTTTATTAAGAAATATCAGAGAACAACGACAAATATGAGGAAAAAAAGTATTTTCAGTTGCCGTTAGGCGCGGAGTAGTCACGTCACCAATTGAGAAGACCTAAGGTGGTGACTGTTTTCTTCGTTACTTGGTGGCCGTCGTCCTCCACGTCCCTCCCCGTCTCCTTTTCAGGGCGCGATATATCTCTCAGATAGCCTCAATGATTTACAATACGAAGATATTGATGATCGATCAGTGACAATCAGTCGAGTTGCACTATAACATCTTCCATATGCTGTTCACGACATTGATTACCAATATAACAATGATTGTCAATTGTTTCCTAGAGAGCTCGAAAGACTAATTGACTCTTTCAAGCAAGTAGCATTACTTAAAGACTATGACAAGAGTGCTATCTTGTGGATATGATGGATACTTACCGATGTTCACATTCAAAAACACCAATACTCACGTCATTATCCATGTATCTAGACAAAGCCATCCATACTCACAACCGCTCAAAACTTTTCAACGAATAGAGATAAAAAGTTTCGGACTTTCATAGGTTTGTAGATGATGAGTCCATCGATCTAATCTACTTCTCAAAAAGATAAATGTCATTTTATCTTCGTAGAATGATAATCTACTCTTTCAGGATGACTATGAATCAATGCTTACTCATGGATGGAACTTCAAAAATCTTATGTGACTCGATCTATGGGGGAGAAATCTCTTTCACACGACAGAAACTTGAACTTGATAGGTGATTACGATACAAAGTTATTTGATATATACCAATCAGCCTTTTATTTTTTGAGATCGATATTAATTCTAAGATGCATGACATATTGAATTAATTTTTTTTCAAAGAACATAATCAGTAATCAAAAGAATATGAATTCCGGTGAAGTGTTTATTCATCTAATCTATTTAGTATGAGTGAGAGAAATAGAAACGCAGGAGATATGCTCAGATTTCTGAAACTATAGAAATACATGTAAAACCTATAGAAAAAAAACAAACACGAAACATATCAGACCTTATCAGCTTAATGGAAGACATTTTTCCGAGATTGTTATTACTATCATCTTTGAATAGCAATTGATCAATAACTTATTTTCATGAGAAATAAATATAAATCGTTAACAAATAAAAGATTACGTTCATAAATTATTTATGATAAAATCATAATCGTTCTTCGTTAACGTTAATATGAGCATATTAAAATCAACACTGTAGTATTAAAGAATTAAAATTCCACTGTTCATATTTTATAGAAATATTATCATTCAGTTAATATTCTTTGATGAAATAAGATTTATTAAAGATTTGAAAAAAAAAAGTCTTGTGACGGTTTGTTTCATTGCAAAACGAGAGAGGGCGCTAACTAACAATCTTTCAACTTGAATATGCTTTTATTTGGTAGCTCTAGCTGACGAACAAGATACAAGCTTGCTTGTTTTTCATTTTAAATGACTCAAAATCTTATCGAATCGATAAATATCTATTCGATTCATCAGAAACGAAAACAAAACAAAATGTATACCAAATGGAAATTTCATTTCATTTCATTGATCATGTCAAATAAAATGTTTTTCTTTTATTGCAGATAAGCTATTGAAGTATTTTCAAAATGGATCCTTCAAGATCTACATCAAATTCTCAACCAAATACTTTTCTTTCTACATATGACCCAACAAATATTGATAGTCCAGGCTTTGATCCTGAAACATATGTTACAAAATTATTACGTGAATCACGTTTAACACAATTAATTGATAAAGAACAATTATTAACAAAACAAATAAAAACTTTAGATAATGAAATGCAAACACTTGTTTATGAAAATTATAATAAATTTATATCAGCAACAGATACAATTCGTCAAATGAAAAAAGATTTTAAAACAATGGAAGATGAAATGACACATCTTATATCAACAATGAGTACAATTAATTCAAATAATCGTCAAATACATTTAACACTCGATAATCGACGTCAAGAAATACGAAAATTAACAAGTATACATTTATTATTACAAAAATTACAATATTTATTTCAATTACCAAATAAATTAAAAGAATATGCCGATGATAATCAATATGATTTAGCTGTAAATACATATACAAAAGCATTAAAAGCATTACAAAAATATGAACATGTACCATCATTTAATCATATTCAACAAACATGTAGAGAAACAATGAATACTATACGTGATGAACTTAAAACAAGATTTGATCAACAACAAACAACATCAAATAATGTAGTCAAATTATTACTTCAATTAGGTGAATCATCTGATTATCTTGCTCAACAATATCTCTTCCAAAATAAACAAAGACTTGAACAACCATTAGAATTAATGAAACAACAACTTATTGTTGCTGAAAATCAATTAGGATCAACAACTTCAAATTCAGTTACACAACGTAAGTTATTATTTCAATATGATTCGAGAGTCATCATTTTAAATTGTGAAAAGAAAAATATCCTCTAGATTTGTTAATAAAGTAAATGTATCGGGTGTCCCAAAAAGAATGGGCCTCTCAGTATTTTTAAGATTTCTTCTCTATTATCTCTGTAATTAAAGCTCTCTTTATTATCAAAAGATAGTGCTTGAAATTCTCTACAAAACCATATATGAGTTGGCCCCAAAACTGTCTTAGATATATTTGAAAAAAGACGAAAACTAAAGGCATACAAAAACTGTAAAATGTAAATAACGGGTGTTCCATAATAAATGGCCGCACTTTGCATTTCATATATATATCTTTAAATATGTTTTACTAAAAAAAACAAAATATACCATAAGATGCAGGGTGAAAAGCTCTACAATCTAGAAATTAAAGTCTATTTTAGTTGTATATATTTTGTTTACAAAAGAAGCAAAATTTTGTGCAACCAATTTTCGCCATTGCGAAAAAAATCACTGGTTTTTACACGAACGAGAATTCCTTTTCTTATTTTATCTTTTTACCACCTAATATAGTTCCTTAAAAAAAATCAAAATGTATTGCAAGATGCAGCGTCAATAGCTCTACAATTTACAAAGAACAATTTATCTTATTTGGGTCATTTTTAAGTTGAAAATAACTCCAAACTCTATATGATCGGTTTTCGCAACGACGAAAATCCATCGCACAGAGTTTTGCTTTTTTTTGAAAACAAAAAGTATACAATTAAAATAAACTTTAGTTAGTAGATTGTAGAGCTTTTCATCTTGCATCTTATGGTATATTTTGTTTTTTTAATAAAACCAATTTAGAGATTACAAAATGAAATACAAAGTGCGGCTGTTTATTATTAGTGACATATTTATATTTTACAGCCGTTTGCATGTCTTTAGTTTTTGTCTTTTTTCAAATATATCTAAGACAGTTTTGGGGCCAACTCATATATGGTTTTGTAGAGAATTTCAAGCACTATCTTTTGATAATAAAGAGAGCTTTAATTACAAGGATAATAGAGAAGAAATCTTAAAAATACTGAGAGACCCATTCTTTCTGGGACACCCGATAGTTTACATTGTGTTAGTTGATGTCTTTGAATTTGTTTTCTTTATATTTTGATTAAATATTGAAAATTAATTATAAATATTAGATATTTATTTTCTTTGATAGAAATGCATCCAATGGATATTCTTGAATTTGTTGATACAAGTTATAATTCTTATATAAAAAATCTTCATGAATTTGTTGAATCTTATGAATTATTATTTATACGAAATTCATCTAGTGCATCTTCATCGCCAAGTTTAGATGATGAATATAAAGAACGTTGTAAACATTATTTAGAAGAATATTTACTTGAACTTTATTCGAATTATATAAAATTTATTCATGATTTATTTCAATCGAAATATTATGGACAAGATGATGATATACAATTATATGTACGTGCTATAGATAGATTTTTACGTCGTTCATCAAGTGATATATATAAATATTTATTAACTCAACATGCATTAGAAAAAATGCGTTTAATGCTTGATACATTTTTAAAATTTGCTATTGAATGTCGTTTAAAATTTTATCATTTATATATTGATCGACATTTTCATGATCAAATTATTGAATTAAGAAAATCATTAACTATTATTCAAACAACAACAAATGAACAATTACAATCAACATCAATTGAAAATCAACAATTACAACTTAATTTATCACAATGTGTTGATAAAATGCTTAAACAATTAACAAATGATATTAAAATAACATTTCAAAATTTATCAACATTTCTTGATGGTACAGAAATGATTGGTCATACAGGAAAAAAGAATTTATTTATTAAACAATTTGCTACAAATCATGTATGGAATGGATTTTTTTTAACATTACTTCATCGTTTAATAACTTATTTTGAACATGAATATACAACAGCAAGTAATAATTCAACAATAATAAGACATGAACAATCATCACCACCAATTCTTTTACTTATGTTAAGTAAATTAATACTTGATTTTGATTCAAGTTCAATACCTTATTTATGTACTGTATTTGAAGAAAAATTTAATTTAATTCTTGAAAATAATCTACGAGGTATAGATCTTTATTTCTTAAATAATAGTTTAGAAATTTTAATTGTGATTGATTTAGTTAATTAGAAAGTATTATTTAATTCATTTCTATCATAACTCGTAATTCAACATGTTTTGTAATTTAATGCATATGAAATAAGACGATCTAAGAAATTGATATGATCTAAAAAAAAAAATAGTGATTAATTTTATAACTAAAAGTATCTGTGATAGTAGAGAACTTATTGTCAATAAATTAGACAAGAACATATTCAAAAATATGACTTTTAATGAAAGAATTTTTCACAAAAAAAAATCAATCAAACAAAGAAATAATACAGTACATTTATTTTTCGATTAATATATCTATGAGAATATTTCAATAGAAGAAATCCTTTCAAAAGTTCAAGATAAAGATTAAAATGAAATCTTGTTGCAATTCGCTAAAACAACATGTTTCATATGAATTGAAAATTTTGTATATTCGATATGTAGAAAATCATATGAATAAACTATTTTATGATTATTATCTAAATGTTGTCTTCATCTATGATGTTAAAAATAATGAACTAATATCTATTGTACTTTAAAGTAATACAAAGATCTTTGTTGTTTTGTTTTTTTTAACTAGGTGATAATCAAAAAAGTGGATCATCATCAATAGATCGTTCAACATTATCAACCATTCAAAAACAATTTAATATTATTGCCAAACAATTACTCAAACAATACATTTGTTCTCAAGGTTATACTCTTTCTCAAATGCTTCGTAAATCAATTGAAACTCGTGATTGGCTTAATACAATTGAACCAAGACATGTTCGTTCAGTAATGAAACGTATTATTGAAGATTTAACTCAAATAGATAAACATGTTAAAATGCTTTATCATGATCAACAATCATCAGCACCAATAACATCATCATCATCATCGTATGGTCGTTATTCTCATCGTTCAAATTTAATTAGTGGAGGAGGACGAAGTTCTGATGGTGGTCGTCGTACAATAATAATGCCACGTAGTTCAGCACTTGATCGAACAACAAGTGGTGGACCAGGTAGTTCAGGTGGTTCAACGGGAAATCTTCAACTTAATTTTCATAAAGTATTCAATGAAAAATTAGATATATTTATTGATTTACAATTTCAAAAAACTTCTATTTTATCAAGTATAATTAAATTACTTTTAAAAACATATTTAGAATGTATTCGTTTAAAAACATTTTCACGTTATGGTTTACAACAAGTACAAGTTGATATTAATTATCTATATAATTATCTTTGGTCATTTGTTAATAATGATGATAGATTTATAACAAATTTACTTGAAGAAATTGTTAGTAGTACAGCTATGAGATGTTTAGATCCTATTCTTATGGAAGCTAGTGTTATTACTGTAATTTGTGAAGGAAATTAATTCTTGTTCTTTTTTTTTTTCTCGCTATTCCGAAATATATATTTATATATACGTCTATTGATTATTTTACTTTATTGTCTTATTATTGTTGTTTTGTTTCGTTTGAAGATTAAATAAAATGAAAGATTGGTTTTTAGTAATAATCTATCATAAGGAAATAATTATTTATTTCATTAATTTATGATATTACTAATATGAGTATAGAAAGATTATTTTTTTGTTTCAAGTTAAAATTATTTGGTTCAATCTGTAAAGATTAAATAACATAAAATTCGTTAATATTATTTCATTGAATGTTAATATTTAATAAGGTGATAATTACTTTTGCTCAGTAAGTTTCATAATACATATATTCATTAATAATAAATATTGTTTATTTTAGAATAAAAATTTTCATTAGAAGATCTAATCTTATTTGATTTTGGAAATGTTTGACTGAAGAAAATATTAAAATAGTTAATATTTATTAATATCATATGGACCTTATTTTAAAATATCGAAAAATGTCAATGATTGAAAGCATCAATTAATGAATATCAAGCTTAATATTGGCAAAAGCTTAATGACGACGTATAAATTATGAAAGAGTGAAGCTATGATTCATTGATAGTTTTTATTTTGCTTGGTTTAATAAGAATTTATTCATGTTTAAATATATGATTTTTTGTTAATGATTTTATCAAGAATTTCAAACATATCTTTTTGACTTGTTTGTCTGTTATTGTTCTTTCAATTTATATTTAAAAATCTGATTTTTATGAAATTTACGCTATCATTAGGAATATATGAATCTGTTAAAGTTTGATAGACAAAAGCAGATGTCAGCTAGAAATACAAGTGCTAATTCGTTTTATAAAATTTTTCTTATTATCATATAGTTGAACTTTTATTTCTACTGCAATTATTCTTTTTATAGATTATTTTTTTTCCCCGATGACAAGCAATAATGAATGTTGTTCTTGTTGTCAACAATCAACCTATTTACCTGTTCGTTCCGCTTGGGCAAAAGCTGTATTATCAAAAGTAGAAAGTGATCAACGTTTAGAAGATATCGATCGACGTACATGGTATCATTTAGTACGTAGTGATCTTTTATGTGATGAATATCGAGCACTTTTTCAAGAACTTCATGAAGATGAAGAAACAACGAAATTTATTGAACAAAGTCAAGAAAAATCTGATAATATTCCTGTACAAATACTTCATAGTCTTGCTAGTTCTTTATTGACTATATTTATTGCACGAACATCAGGTATGTCGATAAGATTTTTCACATAAGACGAATATCCGTTTGAAAAAAAAAAAGACGAGAACTCGTAGATTTAAAAAATACTTTTGTTTTTATTCGTTGAAAATCATTGTAGAAAACTATGATCATTCAATTCTTCATAGTCAGTATTTAGAAAAGTTTCGAATATGATACACAATTCTGCCTAACTTCAATTTTAAAGTATTCATATTATTTCTTTTTTTTTTATTGTTCTAAATTCAATTTTAGCCAATGGTTTAATTGGTCGTGGTCGTATGTTTGTTTATTCAACTGCACAGTTTAGAAAATTACTTGATATAGAACATAATGAACAATATCCATTGACGTCACTTCTTGATATTGGTGCTGGTGATGGTTCTGTAACACAACGAATGGCTACTCTATTCAAAAAAGTATATGCTACAGAAATATCATCAATAATGCAATGGCGACTATCCAGTTATGGTTATACAGTACTCGATATAGATCAATGGGGAGATTTAAAATTTGATGTAATAACATGTTTAAATGTTCTTGATCGTTGTGAAAAACCTTTGACTTTATTAAAAAATATTCGTGATCATTTAAATCCTAATCATGGTCGTGCTATAATAACTCTGGTTTTACCATTTAAACCATATTTTGAATATAATAATGATCATCATCCAGATGAATCAATTTATATAAAAGGGCGTTTACCTGAAGAACAAATAAATGAATTTATTTTAAATGTTTTTCAACCATTAGGTTTCCGTTTGAAAAAATTAAGTCGTTTACCATATTTATGTGAAGGTGATATGGAACGAAGTTATTATTTTCTTTCGGATTATATTTTTGTACTAGAAGTTGTTTAAATATTTTGTTTTTCCTTTTATTGTTTGATATATTTTATATTTAAGTTTATCAGGATTAATGAATCCTTCATTTCGGTTGTAAATGTAATTGAATTCCTCTCTTGTTTCTTTTTTTTTTTCAAGATAAAAATAAAGATCAGTTTAATCATTTAAAGTTACATTAGAAAATCTTTATATCGAAAACAATTTGAATTTATTTTCATGATTAGTTAAATTCATAAAGATATTTATTTTTGAATATATATAATAGAGGATTAAATATGAAATTTAACTAAGACAAAATTTCAAAGTTATCACGATTACAATCATGCGAAATAAGTAAGAATGAAATAAAAAGACGCATTAAGAACAAGATAATAGGCAATAAGAGAAAACAAAGGGTTATGAAAAATAATGAGAGCAAAGCAGGATCAAAAGGTGTATTACAACTTTTTTCTTATGCTTTTGCCTTTCTATAAAGGATATAAGAAAGACTAGTTAATTCAATGTTTTCTTTTTCTTTTTGGGAATTTGTACTAGAGACTTTGTAAGATGATGAGACAAAGTTCAACGACATCGTATGCATTCTTACATTGAAATAAATAATAATCTTGAGATTTTATATCATATCGTATATTGAGAAAGAAGTATATATGTATATGATTTATTTTATGTATAAACAATATTTTATACGTAGAGAAAAATTTCGCTCTTTCTAACAACCATTTTCAACCTTTTAAACTGATGATAGAAAACAATACAACAAAAGTAAGAAATGAAAAACAACAAAAAAAAAATTAAAACATGTCCATAATAAAAACTAAAATAAGAGTACAGGAAAACAGCATGAGACATTTATAGATATACATTTGTAACATTATGAAATTATCAATACCATAAAATGCTAGCGTCAAGAAAAAAAAATGTTATATCAATATCATAAGCATTAACATCACAATACATATACACATATCATAATGTGAATATTAACATAACAATACATATCATACAATCATCAAATATATTATCATAATCATTCAAATTATCATTATAAATCATACGTAGTTAAGAGAAACCTAAAATAGTATCACGGTGTGTAACCAGTATCATTATATCATTATAATATAATAAAACGATAACACGATGCAAATGAATCTAGTTCATTATAATTACAAAATTATTTATTTTGCATACTAACATAATCAGACACGGTTGAAAATGGTCGTTAGAAAGATCGAAAATTTTCTCTATATGAAATATTGAGTATACATTAAAAAACAAACTCATCTACATATATACTTATTCTCATTAATCTATAAGGATGCAACAAATCCTTGCTTATCGATATAAAGATTGTAAATTTTCGTTATGAGGACCCACCAAATCCAACCAAATCTTTGTGCCAATTATGACCAGTTTTATTCATCGTGCGTGATACCGGTGCAAAATTATCAAATTTAAAAAGAAAATTTCTAAGATTTAGCAAGATTCGGTCAAAATAAGACAGTTTTTACTAAATCCTACCAAATCTGAGAAGTTATTTTTTTTTTTAGATTTTGTAATTTTGTACCAGTATCGAGTAGAGTGAATAAAACCGTTTATAATTGACACAAAGATTTGGTGATTTTTCCCATCGAAAATTTACGATCTTGATGTAGAAAAATAGGATTTGTTGTACCCTATTAATATATCATATGAAATAAAATCTCAAGATAATTATTTATTTCAATACAAAATAAAACAATTCTCGTTAATGTTTGTCTCTATGAAAAGTTTCTAGTTGGAATTCGAAAATCAGTTTTTTTAGATTTTCTAATGTTGATAGACTACAATATTCATTTAAAAAAAATGTCATCAATGTGCAAAGTCTCCACAGCAATGAGCTAAGGGCACGAATTCTTTTCAAGATACTCATAGCTGATTTGGCTCTACCAAATGTATGTAGTTTTGATTCAAAAGTGATTTATCAGTTGGATGGCTTATCAGATCAATGAATTTCCATTCTTGTTTGTTTATCTTCAACATCCGGATACTTTTCATAATTCCAAAAGTGTTTTGAATCTCAATAAAGAATGAAATCTCAAGATCCATTCCTTAACATATTCAATCTCAACTCGATGTGAACATTGATTAGCAGTAATAGTCATTTTATTATTATTATTATGATTACAAAACTTCTTACATGAAGCTTATACATATTGTAATTAATCTTAATGTTGAATGTATAAATTTCTTTTACAATTATCTAGATACGAGTGTATATTTTACGAGGTCAGTATACATTTTGTTATTGTTAGTATATTCTTTTGTACTTCAAACTTTAGTACGCATAATGATTTCGTCATAAGAAGTAACGCATTTCATATTTTCTTACTCTATGTAACCTATGAATAAATTAATGAAGCGTAGTAAAAATGCAAACCAAAAAAAAAAGGCTCAATTTCAATGGTTAATAAGTATACTGTTATAGCTTTTATTTCTCCTACGTTCGACCTGATCTACTTTTATCATAATCGTTTGATCTGTTTTTTCTGTTATTGCTACGAAAAACAAAATAGTTTATATTTCTTATTTTTTGTCAACGCAGTGATGATATCGGACTGTATGTATGCAGTAAATGCATCATCTTAAGACAATAATAATCAATAACAGAACTTTTTGCTTCATGTAAACGAAAAAATGATTTATTATTTGAAATTCAGTATGCAATATTCTAGAAATTAGTTTGATACGTTAAAAAAGGAAAAATTTGCTATTGAAATCATTCGTTTATCATTAATAAATTCAAGTGTTATCTTCTGATACGTATTCTAAGAGCAGAAAAATCTAGAATAATTAATCTTCACTCATGTAAAACGACTTACGAAAGAGATAGGACAATTACAATTTATAACTTGTAAGAATATTTCATATAAAACTTCGAGCAAAAATTATGTTCTCAATATACCCGAACAATCTGATATTTGTCGGCTGACATTGATTTTATCTTTCAGTCATATAGAGTGTAAAAAAAAAGCATCACCGAAATCATGGTTTAATTTTTTTAATCATTTTTTCTGTATATTTTTGTTTATTTTTCGATGACTAACTGAATTATGAAGCTTATATTTTTTATGATAACAATAATGTCAATCAAGCATGACTTAAACAACCAAGTTATTCATCACATTTTTGCCTCTTCTATTTATATAATATTCTCTTTGAATTTTTATTGCAGAGAAAAAAAAAATTTTCTACTTGTTCTTTTTTCTTTCAAAAGAAAGGAGCAAAGATGCATTTTTCTTGTTTTTATTGATATCTATTGACAAAAAAAAAATATATATATTTTTCTCTCATCTATTTTCGTATTCAGATTTATCATTTTGCGTATATTTGAAGAGTCATATTTATATAAATGACGGATAAAGGCTACACACATTTTAAAAAATTTCCTATATCAACATCATCAAGTTATTCTGACCAGAAAGAAGATTTTGAAAAAGAAAAACAAAACGTTGTATTTGAAAAAATAGAAACTCTAACAATCAAACCAACTGATAACAATCGTCATCGACATTCTGGAACTTTTATTAAGAAACTTTTTAACACAACATATAATTCAAAATTAATAAATAAAAGAAAACGACAATCAAATAGTGTTGACGGTAATATGTTTGACGAAAACGAGAACAATATGGAACACATTCTAAAAGTGAAGTCACCTCCATCAATGACTCATCAACCTGTATTAGAAAATGACGTTTGTTTAACATCAGCACCAAATGGAGAATTCAAGCTTAAAGTATGTTAAATGACATAAGATAAATTGTATTTTTGATTCTCTTTTTTTTTTCAGGGAATATTAAAAAATTCAAAAAGTAATTCGGGCACCAGTCATCTCAATGACTTATACAATATTCGTAGTCCCTTTCAATACATGCAGCCATATCTTCCAAAATTTCATAAAACAAATAGTAAAGAAAACAGAAGTGGTTTCGAATCGACGATTAATGATAACAATAGTGTACGTTCAAAACCAAATACCTCTACACCAGTTAAAAGTGTTACATTTAGTGATATGATATGTGACATGGAATCTAAGTTAAAAAAATCAATGCCCGCTACAATAAAAAAATCATGTGATCAACGAGAAAATTCTCAAGATTCAAATTTAGTGAACACATCAAAAGTAAATTCTCAAGATTCAAATTTAGTGAACACATCAAAAGTAAATTCTCAAGATTCAAATTTAGTGAACACATCAAAAGTAAATTCTTACGAAGGAAATTCTATTGGTAAAGTACATTTTTATGCTACACATTCGTTACAATTGCAAAGCCTCACTGTTCGTGAATCACGCGATAGTGACTCCAGTGATGACTATTTAGTTGTGTTTTAAAAAAATTATACTTGTTAAAACATCTATTCCTTTCGCCATTTTATTTATGATGTAATTAATAAGACAATTGAAAGAACTATTTTTCAATTGCACATTTCATTATGTTTTCTTTTTCTGGATATGATTTATATATTGTATATACCTGTTGTGCTCATGTAATTGTTTTCTTTTGTGAATTTTTTCTTTTTTTCTTTTTGCGCTTGCACAAAACTTTATTTTTTAATCAGCTAACATGTATCAAGCGACATTTGAAAAATAATAATTTAGTACTCTCACTTTTTCAGCTGTTCAACATAAATAATTGTAGATAAAATAGATGCGAGTCTCATATAATCTGTTTTATTATTTTTTTCAAGGAACTTTGATAAAAAAAATAGGAAGTCTTCTTAGAAAAATGCAAAATGCCCCTAAATCTCAAATAAAATCATACTTTAGGTATGATTTTTGCTTTCTGTATGCCCAAATTTATTACACGTGTCAAACGTGAAAGTTGAATTTAATTAATCAAAAGATTTAAAAAAATTGCTCTTATAAATACCTTTTTAGAAGTATGCCGCAGCGTGAGAATACAGAGTGCTCTTTGAAAAGTCGCTCTCTATACTCGTCTCTGTGTACACAGTAAAGTCTATCATTATTTTATGTTTTGGCATTACTGAAAAGAATGTAAATCTAGACGGACCAGAAGAGTTTGGACATTTTTTTAACCATTTCCAATCGAAACGATAAACTAGATGAATTCTTTTGCTCTAGTAATCAATAAATTTACTAATGTTTTGAAGTAGTATATTGTATGTTGAATTGAAATGAATATCGAATGTTGATATTATTGTGAGCAACAGTCGCAATTCCATAATATTAACCTGAATAACTCACCTATAGTGCTATTGAATTAGTATCATTTATGATCGGCAAAAATTGTTTTCCCTAAGATAACAATCTTAAATAATATCTCCATTCAGTCCCTTTCAAATTCATTGAAGTAATAAGAACCATTCTTAGTATTTTAAATTATTTCAGCTGCACCATTATTACTCAAGGGGGAAAAAGGACACTTCTGTATTTTTGTACTTTTTCCTACTTCCTCGTACTCCGTCGTAGCGGTGTAACCAGGATTTTCAGATCAATGAGGAAATTTCTCTTGTGTTGGAAAAAAATGATGAGCGAAATGAGCAAGGTTTTTATTGATTGGCCAAAAAATTTTGTTTCAACAAAGTATTGATAAAGCAAAAAAACAAAAAATTGAAATAAGAGTCTTTTAATCAAACATGCATCGAAGTGAGATCTTAAGCTTGAGTCAGATGTATTTTAGTATGTTTTTAACGTCTCTGTTTGTAAAATTTCTATTTTAAATTCAAACAACAAAAATCTCTAGAAACTAGGTTATTTCACATCTTGGTTTTTTCCTTTACATTTTCACATATACGTCATTGGATTTTTCCTTTCTCTTGTAGTCGTCACTAAATTTACATATGTATCTATACACATATATGTTTGTGTGTGTGTTCTCTTGCTCTATGTTCTTGTTTCTCTTCTCTTTGACCTATCCTTCTCTACCTTTACGTGGTTAGTGCTTTCCCAAAAAAGTCGAACTTACGTTCACCTAAACTTACAGTTAAAATACAAGAAATGATTCTTTTCTTCTTCTTACTTTAATTCTTCACAGAAAAAACAAACAAAGAGTGCATGCGTGATTCAGACGAAAGAAAAAAGATAGTTACCACCTAATTCAAAAATAAATAAACAATTTTGAAAAAGTAAAACTTCAATGGGCAAAAACTTAATAATAAAAATTACAACGAGGCAAATCTTCAAATGAAATGGGCAATTGCCCATTTGCCTTCCGCTTAGCTACGCCATTGCTCCTTCGTACTTCACTATACTTCTTCTTACTTCTGTACTTCTGTTTTAAGGGTAAAAATCAAAGAAAAAAATGGTACTTTTCTCTCGTACTTCTCTGCACTTCATGACACTTCTTTGCACGTCTTCGTACGTCTTGGTACTTCTTGATACTTCGGTACTACCGAAGTGCAGAAGTGTGGTTTTTTCCTCTTGTTATTACTCATGACGATTATTTTGAATGATTGATTTCAGTCTAATTAGTACATGAATAATAAACCATAAACCTATTGTAATATTAATTAAAAATATTGATATCAACCGATGATAATCAGCCAATACTATAGGAATGAAATGATCAAGTACTATTACAGAAAGTGCTGTGATTTTCTTCTATGGTTGTTTGAGCTCACCCAAATGTTTAATGAATGGTAGGTGATCGTAAAAACATTTTTTTTTGTCTTGTTCATTCCACCTATGAACGAAAATGGAAATTTCTGTAAAGCTTCGACAAAAATATGAAGCTCTACGATTATTTAAAGTAGCTATTTTCTTCTTTTTCTTTTGAAGTCTGAAATAAAGAGATATTTTCATAATAAAGATTCGACGAACTCTGAATTCATTTCCACAAAAAATAATAGTTGCAAAAGCAAAGTTAGCTCAACAATTTCTATTTCTTGACCCTATTGATTGGTGTTGGTTCTTATTTTCTGAAAAATATTATTGAAAAATAATAGCCGCTAGGATGACCAGTTTTATCGATAAAAATACTCAAGAATGTTTCTAAATTTGACGTCAAAACAATTGGAAGGCAAATTCGAATATATTCTTGAGATATGCAAGTCTTTAGCATTTTGGAGAAATATTTAGAAATTTTTACCTAAGCTGACAAAGAGTTAGAAAGTCTGACAATTATGTACCAAATTGCTCAGAAACTACAGAATTTTCTTGTATTAGACTACAGGAAAAAAGAATTGAGATCTTAGTTTAGTGGAAGAAAACATCAATTTTCCGCTTCTATCATGTCAACCTTGAGACATTTCTAGCAATACATATTTTACTAAAGTACTAAAACTAGGATGATAAACTTTTTATGTTCGAACGAATGCAAAGTCGATTTGAATTCATCTATCACATATGTACTTAAAAGACTGAAATATTTTTCGATGGTGTTCATCATGCCGTCCATATAAAATATTATTCACTATTGTCTTTATGATGAAAGAAAATCAATCTTATACCCTACGGTAATATTATGTTATTATTTTTATGATTACTGTGCAGACTCTTGAGCATAACATTTGTTCAATATTTATTTCAAACATATGTTTCTTTAAGAGATATGTCAAAGTAGTAAGATGAATAATTGTTATTTATTGATTTTCAAATACAATTGTCCATAAAACTTCATGCCAGAAATACTTCGTCTACGAGTCACTTATGATAACAGTATTGCTCTAAGAGCTACTATTGCGTTTATAACATTGATTATTTGATCAGAAAGTTATCTCACAAATATTAATGCTATAAAATTTTTTAGTGTGCACTCAACTAAGTTGAGGATGGACTGAACCCATTGCAATCCATTCCTGGCACAGATGTTAAGTACTATCATAATAATATAGTAGCATATAATTATCAAATAATCTACGTTATGTTTTTATTAGTTGAATATTTGTCTATTTATAGATTCTTTTTCAATTGTCTATAGACTTATCTTTATGTTTGAACGATGTCTAACCATTAATTGATGTAGTAATTGTAACACTTATTTTTAATAGAGAATCATATCTTTCGAGCAATCAAATATAAAAGAGTATCAAGTTGAGACCAAGGAGAAATCTTTCCTTTTTTTCTTGCTGTCTTTTCATGATAGATAAATTAATTTAATTTTTTCTTTTCTTTTTTTGTCAATTTTTTTTCTTGCCTTAACCTCTCAATTTAGTATAATGATGACGAGCAAATGAGCATAAATAGAAAAAAACATCAATCGAACTATAAAAGAATAAGTGAACGAGAATGTGAAAGACTGATTGCTAAAATTGAAATAGTGTAGGTATTGTCGATATAATATAAAAAAAAACAGAGAAAGAAGGCACGTACCCGACATTCTTTCTCTCTCTCTCATCTTCAATAATACAATTAAGACTTTTGCCTTTTATACACACACACACACATTGTCTTTTTCTTTTTATGCTTCTACAATTGTTGTTATTTTTGATGACAAGTAAAATTCTACGTCATCTTATTTAAATGGAGATGCCGTATGAAAAGAAAAAGGACCATTAACATTACCAAACAATAATCTTCGAAACTCACCACATACGTATTTGCACAAGTGGTTTATGTCTACCGTTATAGAATGCAAAACATGCATGTGTGTGTGTGTGTTTGTCTGTCAACAGTGACGAATACTGATAACTAAGTGTGAGAGTAAAAATGAAAAAGAAAAGAAGAAAAAAAAAAAAAGAAAAATAGTATTTGCTTTTGACATACTAAATAATGACTTTTAGTGATGAATGAATGAATAAATAAATTGATTGAAGATTTCTTCTTCAAGCATCATCTGTTCTCAATCATTGTAACAAATCATATTATAATCATTATTAAATAGGGTAAGAATTGATCATATACACTTATCAAACTTTAAAATATTTATCATATTAAATAAAAGTAAAAACACAAGAATGAGAAAGAATATAACAAATGACTCTTTTTTTCTATCAAAAATTTGATAAATGCTGTTCGCATTTGCAGATAACAAGCAATTGAGAAAAAAACAATTACTAAAGAAGGACACAACTTTAAAGGCATTTTTTTCACTATTTATTATCCGTTTTTATAGACTCATAAATGACGTATCAAGAACAAGAATTCTTCATATCAGAGTCTTCACAACCGCAACAACCCTATTCACAAAAAAGAATATTTAACAATCATAATAATCGTTGGTATCCTTCACATCTTTCATCGTCAAAGTCTCTTCGTATTGAGTGTAAAACTGAAGAACGACATTTTCTAGGCAACACATGTCCATATTATAATATTGATTCCTCTTTAAAACCTATCCGTTGTACGATGAGTGATCAACTTGAACCAGGACAATTTCGTTCAGAAATTATTGTTCACAATAATACCGACACAGATATACATATAAAAAGACTTCGTGTTGCTTTTCGTTATCATGATGATCCGCCTGAAAATGCTACATTAAATAATCCTGCAACATCATTAACAGAATCATCTATACGTAGTCGTTCAGTAGATATGCCAAGATCTTCAATATCACAAACACAGCAACAACAACAACAACAGAAAGATAATGATTCAAAAAGAAAATTTCAATCAGCAACATCATCACAATCTAAATTATTACATCAATGGATTGATGATATTTGTTCTAATGAAAAATTAATGGCTACTGATAATATTGTATTTTTTATTAAAAATGGTGAATTCTTTGCTAGAATTTAAGAACTTCTTATGAATATTTTATTCTTGTGCGTGCGAAAAATAAAGTATCAAATAATAAAAAACGTAGATTATTTTTGATATTTGCATAATATTTATATATTGTACGTCATTATATTGATGACATACAAAATCATGATTATGAAAAAACAATCTAGTGTGTGTGTGTATGATTTTTCAGAACACAATATTTATATAGAGAAAAGAAACATATTTGCTGATCCATGAACATCGAACAACAAAATGTTTAGATCAACAATATTAACTATAGATGATATGAATGTACTTTTAACATAGTTTATACTATTGTTTGAATTTATCAACATATAATATAAAGCTAAATCACAAAGCATTTAGAATAGTATCGTTTTCACTATGCCTTTTTAATCTAGTCTTATCAGTCTCTAGAGTGTATGATTTATTTTGTTATTATAGATGAATGGATTTAATTTAATATTGAATGATAGCGATATACCAATAAATATTTGCAAGCTTATAGTAATGATCATAATTCCCATTGATCATTTCTCTAGTGAATTTTTTCATTCATACATTTAAATGAAAGATAAAAGAGCTAAATGACACATTTACCCATGAGATCTACTAAAATTTTTTACGTTTTTCTATCCCAAAAATGGATGCATTATCCACGTCTAATGATAAAACAAAAAATCTAAAAGCTAAATTTAATGAATTTTCAATCAAACCAGTCTTTTTAGCCAATTGATCCATATATTTATTTTGCCTTGTTTGAAAAATTTTCAAAGAGAAACTGCACGTAGCAAACAAAGTATTTTAAGATCATCCTTGTAATTATTCTTTTCCAAAATAAGAAACAATAATATTTATTCTATAGAAATAGTTCTATCGAAATATGTTAAATAAACATTATTATTCGATATTTTTCTAATTATACATCATCAATGCTAGTACATTTCGTCGCAGAACATTTTGTCGAGTTCTGTTTGTCGCAGAATAATTTCTTTTGTTCTGTCGTTGCATCCTTCTCAATTAATTCTTTTTTTAAAATAACCAATTGCAATAAAATAAAATAAATTAAAAATTCTGAAAGACGTATACGATAACGATAAACAACTGACTATTCTAAGGCATATGACTTTAATTGGGAAAACGGATCAATAAAAAATATTATTCAAAAGTGATCATGATAGAGCTAAAGTAAACGAAGAATAATTAGAATTGTCACACAGTTAATGAGTTTCAACATAATCTAGATCAACAATAATACTGATCAAATGTTCTTAATTATACGACCACGATAAAAAAAACATGCATTGATGACATTGAAAATATATTTCATTTCTCAATCTCAATATGCACTGCACACTACTTCTCAAAATAAACGTCTCAAATAGAAAACTCCTTTCTATCAAAGGAAACAGTGCTCCTCTATGAAAGTTACCTCTACACTATAGAATTTTCAATAACGATATTTTCAATCTCATCAATGTATATTTTTATTTATCGTGGTCGTATAATTAAGAACATTTGATCAGTATTATTGTTGGTCTAGATTATGTTGAAACTCATTAACTGTGTGACAATTCTAATTATTCTTCGTTCACTTTAGCTNCTAACTTGATCAAGTGAGTAACGAACTTGATTTCTAACTTATTGTATCACTCACAAAAGTTAGGGATGAAGTTGACCATGTCAGCTACTAGCTTTACTTAGGAACCACGTGAAATTAGTCACGAACTTGATTCAGTGCTAACTGTAATAAGCTAGTAGATGATCGAAATGAATTTGGCGATCTGCATTTCGATGAACTTCGTATCGACGATCTGTATTTCGTTAATCTTGATTTCGGCGATCTTTCTTCTCGATAATGTTTGTTTCGGCGCGAGTTTTGACGAAGTTATTTTTCGGCGATGATGCATACAACCAACAGAACGAAAAAAAAATTGTTTTTGCGACGAAATGATCGGTCACCACATCATCAATGGATATGAATAACTTGTTTTGTTTCTATTTAACGGGAAAGTTAATAACGCAATTTGAATTCTTATTACAGCAACTTTCACAACGAAAAAAAAAGATGTAAAAGCATATAAGTTGATTTATTTCAAATATTTATTTTAAATGTCGACTTTTTTTTTTTCTTCGATTTAATTGATGCTTGTCTAAATAGCAAAGAAAGAAAAACAATGTATAAGTTTTTCTATAAAAACTCATTTATAAATGAATTTATTCTTGAAATCAACTAGTAAAATAAAAAAAAAGAGAAACAATAGTATATGCAACTATAAATAAGAAAATATTTATCAAGACACAATGTAACAAAAAATACCTAATAATAATAATCATAATAAATATTATTAAGTATAATTGTCCATTAATATCACAAGTATAGTTTATTTTTTTGAAAATTTTATGGAAGACAAAAAAATGAAAATAAACAAATAAATATGGAAGACATTAGTTACAATCGAATAGTAATAATATCAGGAGATGGTGATCGTTCATCTGATGTTTTTTTTGGTGGTTGTAATACAATATTTGTTGTTGATATATATGAAGAACCTTCTCGACCATTTACTTTTTGTCTCATATATTCTGATTTAGTTTTTTCTTCACCTTCACGCTTCCATGATTTTATATTATTAGTTTCATTTTTATTTATTGGTTGATCTTTAAGACGTTGTGAGCGTATTTGTCCGAGTACAGAATTAAATAAATGTTGCCATCGTTCATTTTCTTTTGAATATTGTAAATCTGAATCATCAATACTTCCTGTTACAGGTCTAGTTGGATTATTTAATGTTCGATCATTATCAATATCATCATCATTATAATTCATTGATGATACGGTTGTTAGATTATTATTATAATTATTATAATTATTATGATTATCATCATAATCATCATCATCATATTTTGACGATGATTTTCGTTCTGTCATTCTTGACATATGACGAACAATATGTGAATGATGAGCACGATTGTCGTCTTGTTCATGATGTGATTTACCATGTGCTGCTTGTTTAATGATTTTTCGAGATTTTTTACCTATCTTTTGAATACGTGCCGGATCAGGTGCATTAAGTTCTTCTGTTTGTACATCGGATATAAGACCTGATTTCATATACCAATCAATAAATTCATCTTTGGTTATATAATCATCATCATTTGCATTTAATTCATTAAATGCATCATCAATACGTTGTTGTAAACTAATTTGTTTTGTTCGTTCTTGTTGACCTGGATTGTTATGTTTATTATTTGAATCTGTTACATCAATAAGTGTATGTAACATTTTACCAATTTCTTCTTTTGTTATTTTTCCATCATTATCTAAATCGAATACATGAAAAAGTGTTTCAATCAGACGAAGACGATTAACGGCTGATGCAGCTGATAAAGCCATTACAAATTCTCTAAATAAAAATAAGACAATTAATTTATTTTATATCAACTATTCATTGAATCAATCAACATATAAAAATCTGACTCCATAGAAAATAAATGCAAAAAAACAAAACAAAAAAAGAAAAGAATAATTTTAATAATCTGTTTAGCTAGAAAATTAGATTGAGTCGGAAACATTTACTGTTTTAATTGAATTTTGTTAGTATTAAAATGAATATGAATCATTGTATGATTCTAATACAAAAAATAATAAACTTTTATTATAATGACTGTCACTCTTAAATACAAGGACTTCAGATATTTCCCTATGGAATTATTCTATTTAAACTACAGAGAAAATGCTAATATCATCAATTGCAATTACTTCTATTATTCTCTAAAATAGTTCTTCCTTGTTTTTTCTCTACTGTTTTCCTTATGCATACATATATTTTCTTCTTTTCGTTTCAATAAATGTGACAATTTACCGAACGTATATCAAAATGTTAAGATTAACAATATATATGTGAGATTTTGTACCTATTGAGAAGTTCGTATATAAAAGTCATTATTTATTCAATATGAATCATTATGCTTTTGTAGCGACTATCATTAAAATCATTTTTTTTCTATATTTTTTAAAACTTTAAATATTATCTAAAACAAAATGAAAATTTCGTATTTGATCTATTTTTCAAATGAATCGAAACTTTTCTATTCTTACTTGAAATCAATATATTGACTTTTATCTTCATCATAAACATTAAACATATGTCTAATATAATCAGCTGTTTTTTGTGTTGGTTTTCCCATTATTTTTGCGTATTCTTGCTCGAATTGTTTCAATGTTAATCTACCATCTGGACAATCTTTATAAAAATTTCTATATTGAAAAACAAAAAAACAAATTATTAATTCCGATAATCATATAAAAAAGAAATATTTAGAAAAAAAAAACAATATTAAATAATTACTCATGCCAAGCAAGTAATTCTTCTTCTGCAAATCCAGTAGTTCGACAAAGTTCTTCGATTGTTTGTCTACTTAATGGTTCAATTGTTCTTAAATTCGGTTTTGATGATTTAGTACCCATTATTGTTAAAATATCATGTATAATGTAAAAAAAAGAAAATGAATTTTTATCTAAAATGATGAAATTTTATACGAAATGTGCCTGTTTGACATAAACAGTTGTCGTTGAATATCTTACGAATCATTTAACAGAACGGTAAGAACGCAAGTAACAAAAAGAAAAAGAAATAGGTGAAAAAAAAAAAAAGAACGACAGCTATTAAAATATGCGACGATTACGCATACAAAATGCAATGGCAACATAACAGTATACACACATGTGTATGCTGCAGCATATAACATCGTGCAAAATAAGAGAACAAGAATAGAGAGAAAGAGAGAGAAAGACAAAAAGAAAAGTAGACAAAGAACAATGACACAAAATATTCGTATACTGCAAAATAAGATAAAGTTGAAATATATTCATAATGATGTATAAGTCAATTATGCATAAACATAGATATGTATATATTGTGGGGTAGATATGTCATTTATCAGAAGTTAATTGATCGTAGGAGATTATTTCTACGAAAATTAAATTTTCCCTCATGAAAGAAAAACAACGAATAGTATCTCATGTCTGGTTTTTGTATGTTTACTTATGTCAAAGTCATAAAAGATCTTCATATTTGACCGCTGAAGAAATATTTTTTTCGATTAAATTATTATCATTATCAAACATTAAAGACTTAGATAAAGAAACAAGACGACTAGTTTCTAATCTTACTTTATTACAATGCAGATGCTACATTTGTAACATATAGTGAATGACTTGGGCATTCTAGTGTATTAGAACATTTTGTAACAAGTCGTATATTTTAATCTCTGTCAGTATTTATTTTTTGTTGACGTTATTGTTTTTTTCTTTACTCATTAAAAACTGATGATTTCAAATTTTATATTACTTGAGTGCATGTAAAGTTGTTGGTATGTTAAAGCTAGAACGTTAATTGGTTTCCTGTTCAGTCTAGCGTTTTTTTTTACTCTAGAAATCACGAATAGAATACTTATATGATACTTTCTCAGTAGTTCTACGAACTCTGTGAAAATAGTTGGACATAAAAAGATTGTTGATGACATCTATATATATATACTTTTGCCATGAGTCACTTCTTCTTCCTTATATTTATCCTTAAGTAAAAAAGGCAATTTCTTTTTCTCATTAATTACTCAATAGGTAAGGTGTCCATTGCATCTCTACTCATATTAATGTTTGATGTCTTTTTTTTCATGATAGATAATTACATAGATAGTGGAAGAATAAAAAAATCTAAATTGATCATATCATTGCTACTCACACACGTTTTTCATATAATAATTACTGACACACACACACAATATATATATGTAGATGTAAAAAACAAAGAAATTGTATTAGTAGATCAACAACAATAGTAAAACGAAATGAAAAAAAAAACATGGCAAGCATGTCAAAACTTTTGATATTTTCCTTTATAAACGTGAAAATATGATAACCTTTCATGTCTATGTAAAAAAAGATTAAAAAAACTATACGAGACAAGAAAAAGACACACATTTGCATTTTTCAGTCCTATTTTTTTCTATTTCTTCGTTGTTGCATAGCAGGTGTATGTGATGCATATAAAATTTCTGAGTATCAGTTAAAAACAAAAATCATTATTAATATTCTCGTCTAGAATTATTGTACACGCAGAACATAATTAAAAATCATGATTAAATTTTGAAATCTAAATAAAGATTATTGTTTCTGTCATCATCATGCAATACTTTCGATATATTAGATTGCGAAATAGTCTCTTTGTTTCCTACCCTTAATCAATTTTTCCCTTGATGACAGTTTCTTCATTTGCATATCTTTATATTGTGTTGTTGTTTTTACATGGTTATATTTTCATCTGTTGCAAGTATTTTTGTCCATTAGAAGATATCAAGAAAATCTACAAAAATAAATCAAACATATATACATAGTTTGTTTTTATGCTTAATTATGTTCTACCATAAGAATATTAATCATTTAAAAATTGACAGTATGTATGGTAGAAATATTTTTGAATGTTTCTTTGTGTAAATTACAGGGTGTTAACAATTTACAACAATTAGTATAGCATACAACTTTGATATTATTAACATGAACTTGATTCAGTAACTATTAAGATGAAAAAGAATTGAAAAGAAAAAGTATTTTTCATTGTTATTAATCAAAATCTATTAAGAATCTATCAGTATGCTGAAAAATAAACATGTTTTTCTTGTTAATTTATTAATACATACTTCTTATTCATTAATATTTTGTTGTAAATATCCAATGAAATTAAATCTTTTTATTACATAAGGAAAATTATCTATATTATATTGAGACACTAGGAACAATTTTTAATTAGTTTACAGTTTAAATAAAAGATTTATTTGTTTTCCTGTTTTTGTTTTTTTTGGATTCAATACTTAGCTTAGCCTTTCTAATTAAGCTTAGTAAATTTTTTTCATATACTTATGGTTGTTTAAGGTTTGAGTACTATGATATGTAACACTATTTTAAGAATAAAGATACATTTATTGTGAAAGATAATATTACCAACATGATATAGTTATAAATTCAACGTACATTCAATGATTGTATTGTAGATTGTAAACTCCTATTCTCTTTATATCAGTAATATTTATGATAAATTCTTTTGAAATGGAGAGATTATATACAAAAGAAATACGAATCTTGAAATATTTATTGCATGTCATAAAAAAAGAGTTTTAATTGCAATTGATGTCAAAGAAAAAAAAAGAAGGCGAAGTGTTTTTTGTTGATTCATATCTCATAAAAAATTTTCTTTTTTCTATCTAGTAAATTTTGAATAGATCTTCCTACACTATTTGTGTTACTATATGAGAAAATAATATACTACAAAACAGCTAGATTTTTTTTTTAAAGTAATAACAATTCAAAGGATACGTGACATACGTAGTTTATCTTCTCTCAAAATAGAAGTTGTTTTTTTTCTCAAAAGAAAAGAATCAGGAAATATAGTATCTTGTAGTTTTGAGATCTGTCTTCTAGAAGATTGAAGTATAATGAGTTCGTCATGTTATTTAAACAATGAAATCGTCATTTTTTATTTTCTTCTTTGATATTTCTTTTTATAGCCTTATGAACTATTAAAAGTAAAGACACATAGGTATTCATTAACATAAGTGCATGTCATATTAACTGAATCATTTTCGCCATCGTTCTTATTTTGCTAATGACTTCCTTTCACACATATATATATATATATTCCATCTGTTTGCCTAGTCATATGAATCCAGTATTTGTCTAATCTAGATACTATTCGTATGTTGATTTAGTTAAATTACGGTAATTGACATCAAAATAAAGAGCCTCTACATGTCATTATCTTTATTTTTCATAATCGACATAAATAATTTATCAAATATATAAAGAAAAACTCTTTTTTTTTTCTGTCATTTTGACGAGGTTTTCCATGGATTATCTTTGGTTTACATGGAATGAAAAAAAATAAATAAAAAAGATTTTATACAAAAAAAAAATCAAAGTATAAAAACATAAAATAAAGAAAGAAAAAAAACACATTATTTCACCGTATCTGTTTTGAAAAAAAGAAGAAATTACAAAATATAGAAATAGTATTTAAAAAGAAAAACAATAAAAGCAAACTTTTATTTATTTGATTTTATTTGGAAAAAGCATACCAATGATTACCAGAATCTAGAATTTGTTCATTTTGTACACGATCTATACAAATAATTTGTTTTTTATTAACTAATGCATGACAATAATTATGAGCTTTTGACTCATTCTCCATATAACCACTTGATATAAGCCATTGACAAAAATCATCTTCATTAAATATTGTCTCAACTGAATCCAAAGAACTATTTATACTAGAATAAATAATAAGTTTTCGATTAAATTATTTAATTTTTCTTTTTTTTTAAGAATGATTTTCTTACCTATGTGTTAATATTGAATGTTGAATAAAATTTGGTCGAATTTGATGTTCAAAATCAAGTAGTCGTTCATTTTCTGAGGACCTATGACTTCTACTATGTCGAGAGAATTTTATTTTGAAACCAAAATAATTCAATAATTTAATAATTCTATAAAAAATTTATATTAAAAACATATATATATATATATATTTATTATTCTATTAAATCATACTTTCGACTTATAGGTAATAATACATCAGCATCAAGTGAAAAAACAAGAAATGTTATAATACCCTAAAAATTTCTAATAGAATGATGAATAGAAATATTTTAACTATATATTTACTTGACCATGTAATAAAACAGTATCAAGAAATTGTAATTCATAATAAACACCATCACGATTTTTTGTTAAAACTGACCATGATAAAACTGATATACACTAAAACAACAACTAAGAAGTAAAAAAATATTTCTATTAATTTAAAAAATAGACTTACAACAAATGCATTAATATTCAAGAAACCAACAAGTACTGCATGACGAAGTAATTGTGAATGCACTTCTAATGGAATTTTATCTATAATAATATCTATAAATATGTTGGTGTTCAAACTAAGATTAAATCCAAGCTTGGATTGAATAGATAATTAATATTAAAACTCGAACAAGTTTGTAGGTCAATGAAATAATAGAAAGCAATGATATTTCGATTAGTATTATCATCAATGGATAAATAAAATAAAGATTCGAGCATTTATGAATAGTTTTCTATTGAAACAGTTCGTGTTTATAAAACTGTTCATAACTCCACGGATTCAAAATTAATATGATCCATTGATGATTACATTAATTGAAATGCTAATTGTTCTCTCTCTCTCTCTCTCTAGCTCATCAATAAGGATCTGAATATAACACAAATCTATAGATTAGATCGAGTTTTACCATCACTTTCTTTCTCAATTCAATATTGGATGCTAACATACATATATATGTAGTCAATAAAATTATATAATTAAATACCTATGGAAACTGATTGTATTGTTATTTGACTTTGATCATATTCATTCGAATCATTAATTAATGGTTGAAATTCATTTGTTGTAAAACTTGCAGAACGATTTTCACGTGCATTTTGTTTTAATCGATATGTACGACGAGCGATGCGAAGAAGATTTGTTGAAGTTAGTATTATACATGAAGCAAGTAAACAAATTGAAGCAATAATTTGTATTGTTCCAAATTTTTCTGTATCTAATGTTGGTTCACCTTTTGATCTATCAACTTTTGATTGAAGATAAATCACTAAAGTTGTAAACATTGGTGCCAACCAACCAAATAAATGATATAACCAAAAATATTTACGAGCACGTTCATGTGAATAACAGATTGATATCATTAAAGCAATTGAAATACTTGCTGCCCAGGATCGTGTTGTTAGAGCTGTTAGAACACTACCTGAAATGAATAGGACATTACACATGATATATTTGATTTGTGTCTAAAGATATACAAAACTTCAATTTACATGTGAAATTTTTCTCATACTTTAGAATTAATTAGTTTTTGATGTTTGAATAGCAATAATCGATGAAATTGTTTTTGTATTTAGTAAAAAGAAATAAAATTTCTTTTAAAACTATCTATTCAGCATACTAGAGTTCGTTGAATCGAAAATCTTCGAATCCTGACACGATCAAACCATATTTTGATATTTTTGATGAAATATTCAAATTGAAATTATCTAGTCGTCCGAAAAATATGAGATATTTTTTTCCCCGATTCTTTTATATTCAAGGATTAGCGCATCCTACATATTTCTCAGATAACTAAAACCCTTCGGATTCGGATTCGAAACCAACCTAATGGGCTCTGTTGAATATCCATCTTATCAAAACCTCCTCGAATAGCACCAGTGTTTAAAATCGTATAGTTGAATAATGTGTGTAAATGTTTACTCATGATTCTTATTTGTTTGCTCTATCTTTCATTTAATTAGACTACAAAGGAAAAGTTCGTTTTGAACATGTCAAAATAAATAAAAATATTTAAAGAGTTTGTTCGAAATATCTATCTACTTTGCTTAAATGTCTTTCATTACTATTATACATTAAATTAAATTTTTACGAAAAATAAAGAAAAGAAAAATATTTTTTTTTTTTTACATGAAATTTAATATAATTTCATTTACCTAGATCAACTATTATCGAAGCCTTAATCGATATTGGTAATGTTATATATTGAACTGATATTGTCCATATTGCATGTATCATTTGAAGACCAGCAAAAATAAATGTATATTTATGAATAGGTGATGTCTTTAATAAATGTCGTCGTAAACAAAATCCAATAAGAACAATAATCGTACAAAGTAATGATATAATACTAACATCATATGATGTTTTTACTAATGTTGATTCATATGATTGTTTTAATTTTATATCTAATGTTCTTAAATTAATCATTTTAGCTGAAACAACCATTATTGGTCCAGCAAGTAAAGTTGAAATAATAAGACCTGTTGAAGCAATAGCTCGTAATGCAGCATTTGATTCTGGCACATAAAATATAACTGATGGTGCCGTTGGTGCTGTTCCATATAGAAAACCAAAATTCGAATAATCAATTGTATTATTTAAAGTTCCATTAGTTGGTTTAACAAGTAAAAATATTGCTTCACGTAATACTAATGGAAACATAATTAATTTAATCATACTAATAATAAATACAGTTATAACAAGACGTGTATGAAGACGACGTAATTTACCAGCCATTGTTAAACCAAGATAAAATAATGCTGTTGAACTAAATGATTGTGCTATTGGTGTTAATATATGTTCAAGTATATTTGGTAAATGTTGATGAAATATACGATTAAATATAACACCAAGTAATGTACATATAACAATTGGATTACGACTTATATTATTAAATACTTTTCTTATTAATTGACAACGATGCCATAAAGATATTTTTGAATGTTTTTTTTGATCATCTAAACGTTTTTGTATTTCAATTAATAGCAAAGCAATTGGATTAAGTATAACTAAGGATATTGGTGCTATTAAATAAATATATCGTCCATAATCTGGATGTGATTGTTTATAAACAGCATCAATTATTGGTAACATTAATGCAAAATCATTACTTTGTGATGCCATTATTGCATATAAACCCATACTTGCAAAATTTATTGGACGTTCACCTATACCAGATAAAATTGCTGTTAAAACAAAAACAAATGCTTTAGCTATAAATACAGATGCTATAAATTCCCATGATACTCTTTCAAATTGTACATCAACGAGATTTTTAAAAACTACCGCTGGTAGTGCAAAATTACTTATATAACGTGAAAGACCAGTTGAATGTGTATTTGTTAATAAATTTAATTGACCAGCAACATAACCGACACCAATAATAAAGAAACATTGAATAAGAGCAGGATAAAGATCAGAATCAATTGCTAAGGGAGCGCCGCTGGTGTCATTCATTATCTTCAAGAGAACAAAAAATAGATATATATATATATATATATATATACAGAAAGAGTTCATACAATAACATTAACAAAAGCTATATGAATGTTTTATACAATTAAGATTAGTACAAAAAAAAAAGAACAAAGATCTTTAATAAACAATAACAACAACAAAAATTGTGAGATTCTTGAATTTCGTTTCTTGTACAAATAATTATCTGACTCTATTATTGTACATAACCATAAATACTTTCAACTAATAGCTGCTTTACTAATCATTTCATAAGCTGATGTTTGATTATCAGTTAGATGCATAACATTTCCATCATCATTAGTCAATGCTAAAATAAATAAATAAAAATTGATTTTTTTTTTTTTTTTCTTTTGAGATTGTTATTTTTCTATTTACTTAATTCATCCATATCATCAGCATTTGTGGTTACTGGTGAAAAAAGAACCAAAACCGAAAAAACATATATATTGAACATACCATAGATTCCTAAAAATAAAAATAAAAATAAAATAAATAAATCAAATTTTATCTTTTTTCTCACCAGTTATAAATGCTCCTGAATATTGAATTTTCGATGGTTTTTCTCTATTCCAAACCCAAGTTGTTTCATAAATTTGACTTAAATAATACCAAATAATTGTAAGTACAGCACAAAGAATTGTTGTTAATAATAAAAATTGAAATCGATAAAATGCGCCCTTTATATTAAAAAGAAACAAGAATTAATATATATATATTTTTTTTTTTCTCCTTTTTATTTATCAAACCTGATACATCAAACGTCGAATACGACGCATGGCAGCAAGTTCACCTTGTTTACTACGAATATTCCAAAAAACACGTACAACAAGATTAATAAGACAAATAATATAGATAAAACTAGATAAACCAGCAAGTATAAGAAATATTAAACTTGTATTACGACCAGCACGTGTTGACCATATTGAATAAAATGGATTCCAAATTTGAAATCCTCTAAAAAAAAAAAACATTAAATCAATCATAAACAAATTAGCCATTTGTTGCCTTATTTTTATTTACCTTTGACATAATTCAAAAATGAGTAAAATACTTGAAGCAAACCAAAGTAAAACAATATATTTTCCATATGACCAAAAACTATAATTAGCACTTTTATCCTATATAAATATTTTAAACATATTAATTATTTAAAACAAAGGAGAAAAAGAACTACTTACTATGACATGTTCACCAGCAAAAAAAAGCCAAAATGTTAAAAGAACAGTAAGAAAAAATCCTTGTCGAATTTCACTATAGATTTGAAAACCACTGAAAGGTATTACAAGTGTTAACCATTCGACAGGAGCTAAAAATAAATAGATTTTATCATATCTCAGTCATGCAAATATTTAGATAAAACGAACCATTTAGTATACATGTTGATAGACCAAGTAAGAATAATAGTCTAAATAAAATATGAATAAATTTTCCACTATATGCGCTTCTTTAAGAGTGATTTAGAGAATTCTTTAAATTTAAATTCCACTTAGATGAATAAGAAAATACAATAGTAGTTCGAAAATCATGTAGAATCATCAATTAATTTAATTCTTCATGCTCGACGACTATTGTCAGAAGAGCAATCGTTAGATCAACTATACAAATAAGGTATTGATCTCGTCCGTATGATAATGGTGTGAATAAAACGAATAGATGCATTTATTTTTATCTAGAGTAGTTTAGTCAGCAGGGACGGCGCGACCGGGGGCGGGGATTGGGGGGTCACCCCCGGCTTTGAAAAATTTTGGCCTAGACTTTCTCCGATTTTGGGCTAGATTTTGTCCAATTTTGGGGTAGGTTTTCTGCGGATTAGGGAGAATTATAATGAAGCCTGAGGAGGGGTACGGGGACTTTTGCCGCGCTACCCCATCTCCACCCCCCGGTCATCACTTTTTACGAAAAATCGGGAGTTCTGTATTAGCAGTCTTAAAGGACAATTTTTGGGTGGACTCGAACAAGAGACAAATTTTTATAACGTTGAAGAAAGTTACTAAACTACTTTCTCCGATTTTTTGGATACCCTCCCGCTGCTCGGACCTCTTCGCGCCGTCCCTGTTAGTCAGTTCAACAAACATTGAAACAAAGAAGTAATTGGAATGATTCGAAAACTCGTACTTTTCTCTTCTTCTAGAATGATAGTTTTTAGTAGACAAGAATAGCGTTCATTATTTGTTTTTTTATCCTTATAGTATGATATAAAGAAAATATGACAAAATATCTTAAAAACTACATGTACTATAAGTACGACTTTTTTCAAACTATCTGTTTAGCTACTAAATAATAATATGATAAATGAAAGCATTTTTATCAACAATAAACATTTTGTTCAACTTCTAATGTGATATTCGTTTAGACATGTCGTGTGTACTAAGCTATTCGGAAACTTTTGAAATGTATTTGATTTTCTAGTAAATATTCGCGTCGATACGTATCCCATAACATGTCACCGAAATATATTTTACCTGCGAATAGAAAAAAGTTCTAAGGAAAATTTTATTTTTCCAAACTTATCAATTTTTATGTTTAACTTGTCAACATATAAATACTAATAGAATAGACGCAACATATTTTATTTCATCTAAAATATGATTTCTTTTATCCTCTTCTGCTCTAGCATCATGACAGAACTTCTTAACTATATTGATCAGATTAAAAGCTCATGTATATTTAAACTACTAGTTGCTTAATATTTAAATAATACATGATTCAATATGATTATATAGAAATATAATCATATTATCTTTTAATTCAGAGTTGTGTCCATCTGCAAGTTATAAATAGCATACGGATGATATTACAAATAGATCTAACTGTAAACGTATAAAATTTTTGCGAAAGAATGAAAATTAATTACTGATTTTAAAGATAGTTTTGTTGTGTGAAACGAATTTTTTTTATGTTGATCCTAATGTCAGAAGGTTATTCTCCAGTCGCTTTGGTCTCGAGAAACTATTTCAGAATTTATTCGTATCATATCTAAAATAACTGTTCAATGCTGGATTTTTTCATTTATTTAATCTACAACTAGTACTTTTTGGGCTCATCCCACTTGAACAATATTCTAATCGATGATTCACACGATAATTCGCTTCAAACCATAGATTATTTCACTATAATCTTTACTTTTGGTTGGAACAATTTTTCTCGTAATCTCGATCTCGATAAATTTTAGTCATATATATACTTCTAGTGTCATCTCGATTCATTCATTCATTGATTATTTAAATTATAAATGTTCTCAGATATAAAAAATAAAAATTAGGACATGTTCTTTTGAAATTTCATATCTAATCTTATCAATATCTAACATGCACTTTTGAATTTCTTTCTGATACTTTTGTTTTTGTTTTATTTCAGTCAAATAATTACTTGTCAAGATTAGAATATTTTTTTTGTGCACGTTTCATTTGTCGACAAAACCAAATAAGAGCAGCAAGAACAATTGGAAATGTTATTGTTTTCAATGTATACCATACTTTTGTAAAAGCTTCTGTTTGATAAATACCCTAAATATAAATATATATGATTTGTAAAAAACAAAATTAAAACTAATAATTAATACTAACAATAAATACAAATGATTTAAGTTTACCAATATTTTGTGAAAGACCATTTTCATCAACAATTTGTAAATTAATTAAATAATATGGATATTTCAATGTAGATAATTCAAAAAAAGCTAATGGTTCACATATATATCCATCAGGAATATTCTGAATAAAAGAAAAGTATATATATATATATAATTTTGTCAAGTAAATTAAAAAAAGATAATACTTTATTTTCAATGTCATGATGATATATTGGTTGACATTGAATTGAACGAGATTCACGTGATTTAACTTCTAATTTCCATTCTGATTTAGAATCTTTATACATTTCATCAGTTTTATAACCAAGACGAACATCATATGTTAAAATTGCATTTGAACCTTTAAAAAATTAAATTTATAATTAAAAACAAACAAAAGACTAAACTTACTTAAATTAACTCGTGAATCATATTCAATATGTGGTACAATAAACGATGTTAATGTTTGAAACCATCGTGTAATACGTGGCAATTGAATAACAAAAACAAAATCTTTCCAAGTTTTGTTCTAAAGAAAAAAAAAAAAAAAACGAACATGATGAAATGAATAGAAATTTATTTTAGTTCAATCATACAATTTGAAAACCTAGATGAATTCCATCACAATTTCTTTCTGAATTAAGATAAGTCCATTGATGATATCTTTTAAATTGACATAATGTAAATTCATGATCTTTAGCATATGTTGGTTTCGTTCCTGAAAATAAAAATAAAAAAATAAATTAGTATATAAAAATAAACATGAACATTTTATTTTTGCTAAATACAAATCGAAAGAGAAACATATTATAACTGACATCTAGTGACCTTTATAATTANAATGAGACCACCGATAAGAAAATAAATTATTTGAATAATTAATAAACAAATAAGAAATATTAAAAATTTTCTTCGTGTTAATTGTTCTAATAGAACAAGATAAACCATTTTTATTTTCTATCTCTTTTGTTGATATTTTTAAAAAATTAAGATAAGAAAAAAAGAAGACGTTTTTTTTTATCCATTACATATGTTTTTCATAGTGTGCTACACAAACGAATAATTATAAAGGTCACTAGATGTCAGTTATAATATGTTTCTCTTTCGATTTGCAACATCTAGCAAATGAATCATACCATTACTCCTACACACACGATAGTGGCTTTTTAATATTCTATATTATTTTGTTTTGATCGTTTAGTTTACCCGATCATGTTACGAATATTATTAATAATTATATTCTTATCATATTATCAAGCCGAAAGTAAAAACCAATAAATTGATGTTGATTGATACTAAGTTTTCTCTTTAATTTAAAGGTATTCAAATTGAATATCCACCTAGTAAACATATTGTAGAACGAATACGTACGGATCTTAATGCAATCGATCAAATTTTTCGATATTATATTATTCCACGGGAAATTCAATTTCATGCCGATGCTTTACAAGGTCAATTACCATTTTTTTTAAAATGTAAAGGATCAAAAAGTTCAATAAATTTTACTGTTCCAATAGCAGCGATTGATGTAAGTTTACTAATTTGAAATACAAAAATAATAATTTTTATTATTAAAAATAAAAATCAATCAAAATAAATATTCATAAATGATTAATATTATTTTTTTTATAGCATTTGTCTCTTAATATGGATTATAGTTCTTATACAATTACTGCTACATTAAGAAGAAATCAACTTCGATCAGAGCTTGTCGGACGTTATACATGTTTAGAAATGATTGATGATAAACAAATTGAAACATCTGTTCATGTATTTATTCAAGGTACATCAAATTTCTTCATAGAAAAAAGAAAATTGACTAAGAAATTTTTGTTTTAGATGGAAATTCTGTTTTTACAAAAAGAGTTTATCCGAAAATTTTTAAACAAACAGGTATTCATTTTTTTAATTTACCATGTCAAACAACAAGTTGGTATCCACGAATGTTATGTCCAATGTCAGCTGATACAAGACAATGTAAAGTACGTGAATGTAATTCAAGAGAACGTCAAGTTAATGAACTTAAATGTAATACACCTATATGTGATGGACAAGATATATGTATTCCTGTTTATTATACACCATCAGATTTACAACCTACAGTTAGTTCAAAGAAGTTTTTTAAATGAAAAACTAACAATTAATTAATCGATAATTTTTCTTTTCTAGAAAGTTTTTTTTGATCCACAAATTGGTTTTGCATTAGAAAATCCGACAATACCAAAGATATTAACTGAATTTATTTGTATGAGTAATTATACACCAAGTCAAATATCAAAAATCCCATTTGATTCATTCGATCGTATGATTAATCATATACAAAAAACAATATTTTTGTATCTAAAATTTTTTTGTGTTTAGCTGATTTTGTTCAAATTCATCAACCAAGTTTAAATGTAATGCCAGATGAAACTGTAAGATTAAGTTGTGAAATTCAATATGGAACAAAAGTTGGTCGAAAACTACCAAATATTTTTTGGTTTGAAGATATTTATAATGTAAATTTTTTTTTTTTTTTTCTATTAATTATAATTTTATAATCGAATTGTTTATTTATTTTTATTAAAGCTTAATCTTGTAGCAAATGAAACTGGAAAAGCTTCATTTAATGTTTTTACACAAATTTATAGTCGAAATAGTTCAATAACTCTTCGTGGTTTTAAAGCAAATCAAGTTTATCGATTTTATTGTGTACGTGTATCTGAACAAGGAATTTATTCACGTTCTGTTGATATTAAATGTATTGATGGTATGTTATTACATAATAACTAATAAATATAAAAACTATATGAAAAAAAAAAAAATTGTTTCTTTTTTTTAAGAACCATCACTTGATCTTGAAGTTACTTCAAGTGGATCAGATACTTATGATCAAGTGTCTTATGGTTCAGATAGTAGTTATGATATAACTATTTTTACTATTCCACGTTCAAAAATTCTACTTGAAATAACACGTAATGGATTATCATTAGCAAATGATAAACGATTTGAACTAACACTTCTGTAAGTATTTTAAATTATATATATATATATATATAGTGGTTTGCAAAAAAACTTGGAACAAACATTTGGCTTATATTAACGCCTGAGTTAAGGCCGCCCCCCCTCCGAGAATCAATTTTTTTTTAAAAATTCAATTTTCGAGATAAACCTATGGTTGTTACCTCTAAGGTGTCTAGTTTTAAAATTCATGAAAGTCACTTCCAATTTCGAAAGGCTTCTTAAGAATAATCGATGAACTTCTAAAGCTCTCTAGCAAAAAAACATGGTGCCTAAGACTATAGAGAACTNTTTGATCGTTTGTTTATATTCTCTTGTAAGCTAACGCCCATTTCAAACAAAAAAAAAAGCGAATGGATATTTTTTTGAATAACTTTTTTGATTGAAACGAGATAGAACGCTGCAATTTTCGCCATTGAAAAACGAGAATGAAGCCATATGTATAGATCTTCCATTGGCGGTTCGGATGCACACTTGATAATTGAAAATTCATTGTAATCATCTCATAATGTACATTACTTTTCAAAAAAATTGTTAAATACCATTCGATGCGTCTTCATCTTCTCTTTCTAAAGGTAAAAACCGTAGCTTCCCTTCTTGATCCTATCAAAAGGTATTAAAAAGAATATTTCCATTTGCCTTTTCTTTTTGAAATAGTCATTAGAATAAATTTATTTTTGAGTGTTATTCTTCTATGCATATTACTTATGATTTGAAAAAATTTTACATTTCAGTTTTAATTGTTGCAAGTTAAAAAGAGTAATCAAATCATTGAGATATTTATTCAGTTTAACTTACTGCTATAACTTATCTATGAAAGCCAATAAAACTTGAATTTTAAAGTGCCTAGAATAACCACACATGTTTTTTTTTGGTCGTTTATAAGTTTATTTCGTCAAAGAAAATCGAAAGACAAGGGCAAAAAAAATGAACAAACAAACAGAAAAAAAAGAAGAAGGAGAAAAGAACCATAGAACACTGAAAGTAGAAAAATAATCCAAACCCTCCTCAACACACACACACACACACACACATCAACCTATGGAGAGAAAGACAATAAATCATTTATGAATCAGGTGTCAACACTGTTCTATTAGTTGGTAGAAATAAACATTCAACTTGCTGTTTTGTTCTTAACAAGCTTTCATCCTATATACTCATTGCACACACATCAATTAGAACTTATATGAACAACAATTCCAAAAGCACACTTGAATTTAAATCTCGGGAGTAGATCTATATATATATTTATATTTATATATATGTATGTGTGTGTATACAAAAGAGAATAGAAGAAATAAACTGAAGATTAATAAATTAGTTTTGATCAAAAGTTCGCATAGATATATATATGGACACAATTCGATTTTGCAAGTGTAAAGGTATAAGAGAAAAAGAAAAAGAAGAAAAAAAAAAATTTTCTTTTTTTTGTTTTGGTTTTTTTTGCAAATGATTTAAGCAATATAACTATATTCATCATTTGAACTTCGTTCGAGATATTGTTTATCAATAAGAATTTCAATACATTTTTTAATAATATGAATTGATGGTAAGAAACGTTGTTTAGATTGTGTTATAACTTCTTCAATTAATGAATTATGTTTTAATTTTTTACGTGCTTTCATTATGCGTACAATAACAGCTTGAAGATAAAATTTACGATCTTCTTCAACTGCTTTTTGTGATGATTCAGAATCCTGTTATCGAAATTATTTTATGTGAATAAAACATAAAAGAAAATAAAAGAAAACTTTTTCTTTTTGATCAATTTTTCTTACATGAGTGGCTTCTTTTTGAGGTAATAATGGTACTTTGAATTTTGTTCGTTTATTTTTATAGTCAAAATTAATTGATATAATTGAACTTGATGTTAAATTATTCTAAAGTCAAACAAAAAAAACTGTTAGCATGATCCTTACGAAATTAAAATGTGAAAAATAATGTAACTACTCTTATTAATCACAGGAAAATTATTTTGATCTATTTATTTTGGAACACATTTCTTCAGCCAGGCCCGTACCCAGGATTTTTGGGTATGCGAGATCTCAGTTTTGAGAGCATGGAACCCAGATGAAACTTATGGAGGCTGATATTGGACCCAAATGATGAGTCTAGATGAAACAATTTTTGTGATCGGAGTTTGCGAAAAAAAACATTCTGTTTTTTGGGGCTCCCTGAAAAATTTTTTGCTTTTAGTAGTATTCCGTTTTTTAGAGTTTGATCGTAATCTACATCGAATTTCATTGACAGATTTTAAATTTCATCTAAAAATATGCATCCGTTCAAACGTTAGAACGTTTCGAATTTTTGAAAAATTGCGCAAAAATTTTCATAAAAATTCAAAACGTTATAACTTCTGAACGGATGCATATTTTTAGATGAAATTTTAAATCTATCGATGAAATTCGATGTAGATTGCGATCAAACTCTAGAAAACGGAATACTACTAACAGCAACAAATTTTTCAGGGGGGGCCCAAAAAAAGAATTTTTTTTTCGCAAATTCCGATCGCAAAAATCGTTTCGTATAAACTCATCATTTGGGTCCAATATCAGCCTCCATAAGTTTCATCTGGGTCTCATTCTCTGAAACTGAGATCCAGCATGCCCAAAAATCCTGGGTACGAGCCTGTCTTCAGCATCCTTATACTTAATCTTTCAAAAATGTAATAAGCAATTAATTCATATTATCACAGGGAGACGTTATTGGTATATGATGTTTGGTCGCATGCGACAACGTCTGTAATAGACAGCAAAACCTTGCTAATGCAAGCCTCATCATTTCCATAATCGAGAACTCTGAACGTCTGTCACGGTCTATAGGAAGTAGTGCAAATATTTCTCCTTTACTTCAACACTCTTATTTGATCATGTTTCATAAAATCTATTTTAACGAATAATAATAAGCAAACGTACAGTATCGGCTAGTAAAAATTTGGCATCAATTAATGAAATAACTTGTTTTTCAAGTTCTTTTATATTAAGTTTAGTAGCGTCTTCTACTTCAGTGATTGTTAATTGTTGATGTTCATTAAATTGTAATAATATAGCCATTTGATATGTACCCATTGTAACAAAATATGAACGATCCAAATGAGTCATACGAATTTCAGCTAAACAGAAAAATAAAATATTGATTAAATATTTTATTTTTATATTTATTTACCATTTGATAAATTGTACATCCAACATAATTTTCGACCACTGTATTTTTTACCATAAAATGCTTCGAACTAGAAGAAAACATTTGATTGAATGTAAATAAAAGAAAAATTAATTCTATACCATATGTAAAGGTTTCTCAAGAAGATGTGGAAGAATAAATGTATTAGTTGTTGGTTGAGAAACTGGCCATGAATTTGCCTAATAGAAAAGTTAGATTCAATAGATTTTAAATATCTTGAGAAACAAAAGAAAGTTTTTTTTTGTTCTACTTGTAAAACATAAATATTAAAATCAAGACCAATTAAACTAGTCATTGTTTGATTATGTGCTGTTGATGATAATTCAGATTTAAGATATTCCAAAAATTCCACATTCAGATCATCGCTAACTTTAATATCTTGAAACATACGAGCCAATTTTCCAGTAAATTCATAACCACATATTTGCTTTAAGAAAAGAAAAAGATTATTAATTATTATTATTATTATTATTATATATGAAGAATTGTTATTTTTTTTCTTTTAGTTTTACAACTTGGAATACATTCTTATATGATTGCGACTTTGTACCAAGAAATTATTTTATTAGTTTTTCGAGCAGAAAAAATTTTAGTGATATTCTTCTCAAGAGATATTTTTCAAAAAAGAGGTAAGCAAACATCCTTATTTTTCCTACGGACCTGTTATCTTATTCAAATCCTTTTCGAAAGAGCTAAAGTTGTCTTCATGATTTCCACGAGACAATGTTCGTAGTGGCATCGCTGTCGCCAACACGACAGCCTCAGAGATTTTTAAGTACATTGAAAAACTGCTTGAATTTGAATGAAATTTCGATATCCACAAATATAACACAGAGACTCGATATATTTCAAGTATTAGTAACTTCAGTTCGACTTCAGAAGTCACAGCAGGAAAATTTGAATGATTTTTTTNTAGATTCAATAGATTTTAAATATCTTGAGAAACAAAAGAAAGTTTTTTTTTGTTCTACTTGTAAAACATAAATATTAAAATCAAGACCAATCAAACTAGTCATTGTTTGATTATGTGCTGTTGATGATAATTCAGATTTAAGATATTCCAAAAATTCCACATTCAGATCATCGCTAACTTTAATATCTTGAAACATACGAGCCAATTTTCCAGTAAATTCATAACCACATATTTGCTTTAAGAAAAGAAAAAGATTATTAATTATTATTATTATTATTATTATATATGAAGAATTGTTATTTTTTTCTTTTAGTTTTACAACTTGGAATACATTCTTATATGATTGCGACTTTGTACCAAGAAATTATTTTATTAATTTTTCCAGCAGAAAAAATTTTAGTAGTGTCCTTCTCAAGAGATGTTTTTCAAAAAAGAGGTAAGCAAACATCCTTATTTTTTCTACGGACCTGTTATCTTATTCAAATCCTTTTCGAAAGAGCTAAAGTTGTCTTCATGATTTCCACGAGACAATGTTCGTAGTGGCATCGCTATCGCCAACACGACAGCCTCAGAGATTTTTAAGTACATTGAAAAACTGCTTGAATTTGAATGAAATTTCGATATCCACAAATATAACACAGAGACTCGATATATTTCAAGTATTAGTAACTTCAGTTCGACTTCAGAAGTCACAGCAGGAAAATTTGAATGATTTTTTTTTTGAATATCCTTGAGGCAGCGACATTATTTTCTCTATAATTCATTGCAGAGCGCACGAGCTTTTCTTTTCTATTGTCGCAATCTATTTTCAGTGGCGATGAAAATCTGTGATTTCCATAGACTATGTTATCGTGGAAGACAAATATTTAATTCATGACACGAAGGTTTTTGTGATAAAAATTTCCTTGACAACAACAACAACAACTAAAAGACATTATCTCGATACAAATTATATAGATTCTTTTGTTTTTGTTTCGGACTTTTTCTTTTCAGGAAAAAAAACTTATTCTATCGAAATGATAAACTATGATTCATTATTCTTTTTCATACATGAAATAAAACAATCATATTTTCGATTCCTTGTAAAACAAAAACAACTAATAATGAAAGAATATTATAAACTGAAATTTTCAGGCTATATTTATAGACATATAAATATTAAGTATAGGCTTTTATTTAATTGTTCAATATTTTATAATGAATGCTCAATATGTGTTTTTATTACACGCTCAGTAAAAAATTAGTTTTAGCACAGTACATAGTTTGAAAAGACTCAGTATCTAAGGATATGGATATCGACCTTGCTAATGACAGCACCATACCCACACTCCACATACACATCCTTTTTTCTCTTGCGAAAAGGCTTTTTATTAGCATCTCTTCCAGATATCTTTAGGCCAAGGGAAATGCATAAGCACACCTTGCACTCCATACTTCACACCTACAGCCTTCCCCCATACTCACATCCACATGCCGCATCAATATCTTGTTGTTTATCTCTAGTTATGATAGTACGTTTTCGAAATAAAAATATCTCTTTGAAGTATATTTTCCTATGCTTTATCTATTACAAAAATGGAATAAGTTGTTTTTGGACCGTCCTATGTATGGGCCAAGGACACTTACTCACTAAGATAGTCGATCTTGTCTAAGCATTTGTGTGAGTATGGATCTTCTCTTCATTTATCTTAGAATTATCTATTTGACAAATATAAGAACAACTAAATCGATCAGTTTATGAATAAAGACCATTCTCTCACAAGAAATTTACTTATCGTATCATTATACTTTGTTATTATTTTATACAACCATCTATTTTCTCTCTGCATATAACTAATTTTTGTTAGTTTTTAGGAGATTTATTTTTTTTCTTAAATTTCTCATGTCATTTCGAATGATAATAATCTTTCTAAAAATTTTATTTTATAAATACTTTGAGTTTTGTAACCATAAATTCTTCAGCATCAATTGAAATTGATTGTTGATTAATAAGTCGACGTGCAAGCATTTTTTGATAAAACTAAAAAGAAATGTATGAAAACTTTTCTTTTCTATTCATTTTCAAAAATCTTACACGTTGAAAATAATCTTTATCATCAAGATATTTAAATATTGTTATTGAACTAAGTAATTTTTCTTCAATTTCACTATCTGAAGCTGCCTTTGATGATTTACGTAATAGACTATCACAATAATGAGCAAGCTAAAAATAAAATTCAAATGACAATAATTTTCTTTATAACAAAAAAAAGGCAGATGACGAATAATACCAATTCAGGTGCTTTAGCTGATAAACGATTACCATATTTCATATTCACAATTGTAGTACAAGCTTTATCAAGTGATGAAACAAATTCTGGATCACTAGTAAATGTTTCTTTTATCACATTCATATATTTTGTATGTAATTCAAGTAATGTTTCAACAAATAATGTTGATAACTAAAAATCAAAAATGAAATCTATTTTGTTTTTTATTCTTTCATTATAACAAACATTTTCTCCTTTAAGTGATTGAATTTTTGCATGACCAATCTGTGATATATGATCTTGTAATTTTTCAACCATATAATTTATACCAATATGTGTTGGTTTAAGTAATTTATACATATTACTAAGTGCTAAAATAAAGAAAAGAAATAAATTCATTTTAATATTGTTTTGTTTAACCCTTTGAGTCCTGAATTTTTTCTATCCAACCTAATTTGATGAAACCACTAGGAATGATAGAGCTAGGTGTGCTAATGAAGTTCCACTATATGACAGATTTTGTTAATCCCATATTTTTATCCGAGGGTGGGTGCAAAATTGGGAAAAATTCGAGAGTAGGCTCCAAAGATGTCTTTGCCATTTGGCTCCGGAACAAGCTACAGACCTGGGAGTTTCAGCATTAGATAGAGGACAGTTAATCGATTCTAGAGCACTAATAAANATAACGATTCATCTATTTCATCGTAACGTGTCTTTAATCAAAATGAAACAATATCTACAACTGCTAAATGAAGATTACAAAGATAAGGAATACCCCATACAAAGAGCCTATTCATCTATTTCACCATAACATATCTACTTTGAAAATAAGACAAAATCTGCAACTGCTAAATAATGACCATAAAGATAAAGAATAGCTCAGACCAGAGAAATATTCATCTATTCTACCATAGCATATCTGCATTGAGAATAAGATAAAATCTGCAACTTCCAAATAATGACTATGAAAATAAGGAATACCACATACCAGAGAACTATTCATCTATTTCACCATAACATATCTGTATTGAGAAAAGACAAAACTCACAACTGCAAAATAATGACTATGAAAATAAAGAATAGTTCATACCACATAACGATTCATCTATTTCATCGTAACGAGTCTTTAATCGAAATGAAACAATATTTACAACTGCTAAATGAAGATTACAAAGATAAGGAATATCCCACACAAAGAGCCTATTCATCTATTTCACCATAACATATCTACTTTGAAAATAAGACAAAATCTGCAACTGCTAAATAATGACCATAAAGATAAAGAATAGCTCATACCAGAGAAATATTCATCTATTTCACCATAGCATAACTCCATTCAAAATAAGACAAAATCTGCAACTGCTAAATAATGACGATGAAGATAAAGAATAACTCATACCAGAGAAATATTCATCTATTTCACCATAGCATAACTCCATTCAAAATAAGACAAAATCTGAAACTGCTAAATAATGACCGTGAAGATAAAGAATAACTCATACCAGAGAAATATTCATCTATTTCACCATAGCATAACTCCATTCAAAATAAGACAAAATCCTCAACTGCTAAATAATGACTATGTGAATAAAAAATAGCTCAGACCAGAGAACTATTCATCTATTCTACCATAGCATATCTGCATTGAGAATAAGATAAAATCTGCAACTTCCAAATAATGACTATGAAAATAAGGAATACCACATACCAGAGAACTATTCATCTATTTCACCATAATGTGTCTTTATTCATAATGAAACCACATGCACAATTGCTAAATGATGATCATGTAGATAAGAAATAGTCAATACAAAAAGTCTTTTCATCTATTTCATCATAACGCGTTTTCAGTGAGTATAAGACAAAATCCGCAACTGCTAAAGAATGATTATGAAAATAAGGAATAGCGCATACTACCAGAGAACTATTCATCTATTTCACCATAACAAAGCTTCATTGAGAATAAGAAAAAATTCGCAGCTGCTATATAATGATTATGAAGATAAAGTATAGCTCATACCAGAGAACGATTCATCTATTTCAGCATAAGATATCTTTACTCATAATGAAACAATATCCATGACTGCTAAATGATGATTATGAAGATAAGGAATTAATCCTACAAAGAGTTTATTCTTTTATTTCGCCGTAAGATGTCTTCAATGACAATAAGACAAAATTTGCAAGTGCTGAATAATGATTATAAAAATGAGGAATAGCTCATACTACGAGAGAACTATTCATCTATTTCACCATAATGTGTCTTTATTCATAATGAAACAATATCGGCAAATGCTAAATGATGATTATGAAAATAAGGAATAGTCAATACAAAAGATTCATTCATCTATTTCACCATAAAGTGTCCTTGTTGAGAATAAGATAAAGTCTGCTACCGGTAAATAATGATTATGAGGATAAGAAATCGCTCGTACCAGAGAAGTTTTCATCTATTTCGCCATTACATATCTCCATTGAGAATAAGACAGAATCCGCAACTACTGAATAATGATTATGAAAATAAGGAATAGCTGACACCACAAAATGTCTGTTTATTTATTTCATCATAACGTGTCTTCATTGAGAATGAGACAAATTTCATCGCTTCGAAATGATAATTATGAAAATAAGGAATAGTTTATATGATGGAGTTATTCATTTATGTTAGCATTGTGGATGATCAATAACGAGATAGAGTTTTCAAAAGCAGATTGTCCATTATGAAGTTTTGGAATGGTGCATATTAGGTTTAAGATCGCTAATTGAATTTTGCAACAGTTGTCGAATTGCTTCACGTCTTGGCATCATAGAGTCGACGTTGCACTCTTTGAACTCGATACATGAAGCAGCTGCAAAACAAACCATGCATACAAGAAGAGTAAATAATAATTTATTCATTTTGTTTTTTACTGATGGAACAGTAATATCGTTTCTAAAATAGATCAATGTATAATTATCTGTCTCATAAAAAAGGAAGCAAATATAGTTTGTTTAAAAACATGTTGGCACTAAGACTCATTTAAAAGTACATACATGAAAATGGGAATAGGTGTGACTTATATATTAATTAGGCAAGAAAACGTTTTCTTCTCGTCAAGTACCTTTCCATTTTCCCATTGAGTGGAAAAAAACTGTTTAGAGCAATGAAATGTTGATAGTATGTGTTCTACATATATCTGTGTCTTGATTTGAGACACGTCATCTGGTAATTTACATTCGTCCATTAGAAAGTGGTCAGTTGCAGAAAGAGAACATTCCTATCTAATGACTGAGAAAAATCTATGTTTACTTCAATACTTGAAAATGCAGGAAATATATTTGATACATGAAAAATAAAAATCCTAATTTTACTTCGACATTTGACGTATTGTTACTATAAGTTTATAGCGTTGAGAAAAGTTTATTGTAGAGACGAATCTGTATCCAATGTCAGTTTTCGATTTTTCTGAATAATGTGGTTCTATTAAAGAAATGATTAAGATAAATTCGTCTCACTACTTGCTTTTTGGAGTCAATTAGAAAATACCTATTTGGAGATAGAACAAGATAGTACTAACAGATGGTTAGAATTTGTCAAACCAGGTACGGCTGATGACGATTCGATTTTTAGATGGAATATACACCGTCTTCATGCACACTAATTCAAATCTATGTATGTTTTCCATGGAAGAGTGTGACCGTGAGAGTAAAGGCTCCACATATTCATTAAAAGCAATGACAAATCAGTATAGTGTTTTTTTTTGCAATAGTGTACAAAGAAAATGTCGGCACAATGACAACGTAGCAAAGCCATGATTTTATAGGTGGTGAAATATTGACTTTTTCTGGTTAAGTCATGTTCACTATAAAGATAATTATATAATACACAAACCTGTATCTAGGAGAAGAACTTTTAAGGTTACGTATAAACATAGTAAACCTTAAAATTTGTTCTCCCTCATACAGACTCTGTAATATGCTGCTTTTATAGTGTAAAATGTACATGGAAAAAATATCATTACTCATTTGAGCTCCTGCGTAATACACAAAATTATTCACATAGTCCTACACAATCAGAAAAGGTATAATAAAAAAAGATGAGAGATAAAAGCGTCATGCGCAAATATGATTGCTAATATTTCGTTTAATAATAGTTTTTTTCGCTTGGATGATTATATTTTAATAGTCTTCATTTCATTAGAAGAGACTCCTTAAAGTTAAGACGAAAAAAATTTCATATTGATTAGTAATCGAATGTTTATTATATAAACCAAATATAGCGAAACAGAAGGAATGAATGAATACATTACTAATTAAGCTTGCTCAGCTTCACATAGAGGTGATCAATATTCATTCAGATACTGGCAAGGTAATGTAAAAAACGAGGCACAACATTGTCTCTCATGTATTTGATGAGCCTCTTTCTTAGACTTCATTGTACAGGATTGGGTTTAGTCACAAAAGATAGGTCGTTCAATTTTCTCCTATATACTCTATTTCATTGAATATCTTCATGAATTATCACGTTTGACAATCAACCTTATTCACGGTTTGCTTGTTGACGACGCATATTGACAAAAAAATGTGATCACACTAGCTTATTTGTCGCTAAAAGTGACCTCTTTCTTTCATCTATCTGTCTACCTTTCTCGATCGCCTTGCTAACACGTGCTAGCAGGCAATTGAGAAAGAAACTACTCTTAGGAACAAATAAGCTGGTATGGCTAGGTTTTTTACATGTGTTCGTGACCAACAAATGAATCTTGAATAAGGCTCATTGATGAAAATGTTTGAAACATTACTCTTAATTATGATAAAATAGTGGATTTGTAAATGGTTTTACTACAAGTTTTAACCATCTCATAAGTTCGAATTTCATTGTTATATATCCCAATGCATTATTTGCATGAAATCTGTTCAAACAATACCTATACAGAGACTAACATTATCTTGAGATAAAATTCAAGTTTATGAGACAAGTGAGATGTGCTATGAAAAGATTATTAAAGCTATCACATGAGAAACTGCGATTATGATTCCAAATATTTTGATGAATTGTTCAAAAGGGATGTATGATATTTTTATACAATCAAATATAACGCTTTGGAGAGGATTGAATGTCTATCTTTTGAGACTATATTCATTTATACATGATGAAATTTAACCGAGATATTCACAAAATACCAAAAAGGAATATCTTTTATGTCATACTCATTGATAGTGTAGTAGAATGAAGAACAAGATAAAGCGGAAAAAAATGACACTCTTTGAAATATATAATGAAACAATAGTTATATATATTTGTATGTATGCTTTTAGATTCTTATTATTATTACCTAACTATCATACAACTAATATGAAACTAATGTGTAAGTTCTCTTTTCAGTTGTAGTATTTTTCATACTTTGTTTCTTTTTCAT